CTTATGCAGTAGTTTCTAGGTGAAGATGCTAATTAAACTGAGTGGGGGTGTGTGTGTGTGTCTGTGTGAAATTTTGATCTTATGAAAATCTCCTGGACACTGATTACAGTGGGGGCAAGGATTTTACTGCTGCTCTGAAGAGACATTACTATTTTAGAGTAGTGGATCACGTTCAGTGTCTCAAAGATGGAGTTTTGTGTACGTGCAGCTTGTTGTGGATGCTTTTGCTTGTGTAATGCAATGAGTTGGTATTGTTCCTAATCCTTCCACATTATATCTATATTACACTGCATTTTTCTTCTGGCCTGCAGAACTTTGAGGGCACTGTTTTTCTTGGACTATTTGTTGGTACTTGTTGTAACCAATTCTTAAAGCTAATATCCAAAATAATACTCAGAAGGCAGCGCTGAAACTATTTTGAAGCCGTTGATGCATTTCAGAAATATGTTATGAAATAAAGAAAACTATTCCTGGCTGTTTGCCTGATTAGATACAAGAACTTCCTCCTGTTTGGAGTAACAGCTCACTGGCTGAACAGTTCTTCACTGCACAAGTTCTTCTGTCAGCTGCACCCACACCAAAATCACCCACAGAGGTGTGGGTGGGTGCCCACATGTAGCTGTCATCACCATTTGGGATATTCAACATAAAGGTGTTTATGCTTATCCATTCTTATAGGTAAGTGTAAAGGAGTCAGCCTGCCTGGAAAATAAATGCTGTAGAAATGGCTTGTAATAATTCTCAGGGTATCTGTCCAATGACAACGTGGATTTTTCTCACAACTTATAAATTTGCTGTTAACGTGATGTAGACTTCATTAATAGTTGATTCACACATTTCAAGTTTCAGCTGCCTGTGCATTTAAATTACTCCAGAGACAATCTATGCACTTGCTTGACTTCAAATGAAAGGTCATCAGCATCAGTCATGTCCAAAAATTAATAATTAGGACTTGGCTTTGATTCAAATACAAAATTAATTGAAGTCATATTAATTATGAGTTCTGCAAAAGGATCCATACAAGCAAAAGTGCCTGCCTGGCTCCATTATTCTACAAGGTTAGAGCCTGGTTTGCATCTGTTTTAAGACAGTGGGTGACTCAGTTCTTATGTTGGTAAAAGTTGTGTATACATGCTGTGAAATCATGGAATTTGTGGTGAGGGATCTAATTACAAAGAAATGGGTTTTGGACTGTGGTTCTTTTATGAAGAATTTGAGTCTTAAGTATTACTAGCCTTGGAAAGTGGTGTTCTGTAACTTTGAAATTCAGAATAATTTCTAACAGTCTGTAGTGTGATTTAATAAAGCTGGTAGTGGTAGATAGTAATCAATGTAATTTTTTGTGGATTTTTCATGTTTTTGTACTTGCTTTGCTTACATGACACTGATTACCAGTATCTGTACAAAAATCAGAAAAATATAAAATTATTAAAATTAAACGGTGGTTGCTAGGAAAAAATGCCATGATTGATCACACAGAAAATTTGTAGTGTTGCTAGAAAACTTAGCTTGGCATTTTGAGTGTGTGGTGGTGTACTAATGCATGCTCCAAGGCATTCAGAGTTCACACAATGAAGCATCATAAGCCTTTCCCAGTTTTGTTGAAGCTATTACCTCTTTCTCTAATGAAAAAAAAAAAAAAAAGGAATAAAAGGGGCATGGAGAGTAGAACAACTTATTTCCTTTTATTAAGGCACGTTTATTGTGCCTGTTTACATGATATATTTCTGGACAATAGGAACACATTCAGTAGTTGCCATTTGGAGGAAATACAGGTGATTAACTCCTTCTTGGGCAGCTGATGTGTCCAGAGAACAGCTGTGCCAGGTCTTTTCTTGGTCTGTGCTTGGAAAAGAAGGAAAACTTGCACTGCAACAAGTTTAGAGCACTCTGACTGGTGATGATATTGTTATCAGTGTTGTGTAAACCGATATCACTGTTAAGCAAATGTTTAAAAGACATGAAAACGACAACAAAAAATCATCATCTAAAAATCTAGCTGTTCAATTTCTCTCATCCTGATAAAAATAAGCTACTGCTAATAGTCTTGGAATAAATCCATTTAAATACTGGGAAAGCTTCAAAGAAGCTTTATTATAAGAATTTAATTGTATTTGCAGAGAAAGGATAGAGAGAGCAGCAGAGAATGACAACAGAATAATTTATGTTGGAAGGAAGCTCTGTACCCCATCACATCCAGCCAGGCCAGCTCCAAAGTTGGAACCAACTTACAAAGTTTGATGTGGTGGCTTGGAGCCTTATCTGGCCACATTTTGGATGTTTCCAAGGAAGGAGATTCCACAGCCTTGCTAGGCAACCTCTTCCAATGTTTGACTGCTCTCATTGTGAAGGAAAATCTCCCTGCTATCTAATTCCTTGTTGCAAGGCATTAGCCATCTGTTGTATAGGTTGTTTTGAATAGTATCGCTTAGTCTTAATGAGTCCTGGGAGGCAAAACACTTAAACTCTCACTTTTCAAATTCAAATAAACCACTGTGTTCTGCAGAACTAATTGTTGATGGTGGGGGTTTCATTTCTTTCTTCCCAGTGAAGTCCTACTATTGAAGCTGCACATTTGCGGGCAGTTTTGGGTTTATGTGCCCTCTCCTTGTCTGTGAAATTACCATCTGCATTTTCTGCAGCAACAGAGCCATCCTTCTGTTTCTCGGCTCATAGTATTTGCTTGACATGCAAAACTTGTCCTGAAATGCATTGCTCAGATATTTAAAAAGTGTTTACTTTCCAGCTGAAATCTTTACTATTAGTAAGTAATATTTAGTCTTGTTAGTAATGTACTTGCTCTTTATTTGCAACTAAAAGGACTAATTCCTCTTCTGGTGAATTTTTTTCCTGAGATAGAATGTAGATGTAGTATGGTATAATGGGAAACCTCCCTTCCTGAATAACCCTAGAGCACTTCTGGAATACAGTTCTTTTTCTTAGTCTTAATTGAAGAGTGAGTTATTAATGATTGACACCTGCAGACAAGGGCTTGCTGGCAGTTCCTCTGCCCCTGGAGAATATAGCTGGCAAGGTGATTTCAATTTTTTTAAGCTAACAGGCTATCTGCACTTTTTTTTGATAGCAGTCCTAACCTAAGCATCTCAGGTTAAACAGGCTGCATCAGGCCTGCTTTGAAAGGAAAGCCTTTCAACTTAAAACTCCACTGTGTGACAAACGTGGAGTTCAGTTGTTAGGGTTATCATTGATTTATTTATTATTTTCTTTGAAAACATCTCATGTTCCTATCCCACTCTTTGTATGTAGACACAAAATTAAATCTCACATAGAAATGCTTTTTTTGGAAACAATACTCCTCAGTGGTTTTGTGAGGAAATAGATCCTGGTTGCTTTGTAGATGTTTAGCATTGTGTGCTTACTGAAGATACTTTCTCTGGATCTCTGATTTCATGGGAAAACTGTAGAGTTAGAAACTTTATTAACCTTTATTAAACTTTATTAACCCACAGCTGTAGGACAGGTCAGTTCAGCAGCCTAGGGAGCGAGGGCCATCCCTGGTGCAGTGGAGTAATTGATAGCCCGTGTCTTGTTCACAGTTTCCAATGGCTCTAGGGTGAGGATTTTTATAACAGGTGAGGCTGGAAAAAGTCCTTCTGGTGTTGCATAAGTTGTTACAGCTGTCAGCTTATCATTGGAAATGTTCATGATGTGGGTGCCTTATATCTGACTTGCTGGAGCAAGGTGTGTTGGAAAAGGGTGAAAAGTTTATAACACACCAAACATCCTCTGTGTTTATGGCCTGAGTGGGACTTAACATGAGCAGTTGGTGGGGTTTTTGTTGTTGTTGGGGGTTGGTTGGTTTTGGTTTGCTTGGTTTTGGTGTGTTTTTTAAATCAAGACATGTCCTGAGCTATTGACATGGGCATGTTATGGCTGCATGAGCTGTTTGATTGTTAGCTGTCCTTTAGTCAGCTGAGTGTTATCTCTTAGGAACTCATTGCTCTGAGATCTCAAAGTATTTCTTTATGCCTTATTCTGGGCTGGGGAACATCCTGGTATGCTGGACAACAAGGTCAAATCTGTAATGCTTGAAACCAAACAGGCTTTACAAGAGGAATAACTCCAACTCTTTAAACAAGAAAACACATCAAGTTTTCGTTTTTGCCTATTTGAGGTACAATTCTTTGAAAAGCCTTGTTATTTTTACTTTCTGAATACCCTGAGATTTTGTTACATTTGATGGGAGTTCTGGTTTTGGATGTTGTTCACCTAAGAACAGTTAACTAAACCCAGAAAAATTTAGAGTCTTAAATAAATGAGCACTTGGTTCACAGATAGGTAAGATACTTCTCCCTAATGAAAAGAAATGTTTCACAGAGGATAGCAAAATGTCTAGATAGTGTTCTGAGGGGAAAGCGTATAGAAACCCTCAATTTTAATTCAGTTATGATGAAATACTAAATAATGTTGTTTTCTATAGACTGTGCAGCCACACAGCTAAGGTTGTATGTTACACCTCTGCATGAAGATGTAAAGAGAAATCATTGGAGAAATACTATGTTAAAGGAAAAAGAAACATGCAAGAAATGGCTTCCACATAATTTCTGTGACCTCATTAAATAATAAAAATTGTGTAAAATGTTGCATTTCAAATTACTGGTTCTATTCTGTGAAATTTATGGAAACACAAATCAGAAATGTATCTTGTGTAATTTCTATGCTATATCTAAATAATCTGGTAACAGCAAGGTGGAAATAATCATAAATTCAACTGTGCCTCACTAACTAAAGATTGGAACTAGTTTACTTTCAAAACATTAACCTGCTTAATCATTAAATGCCACAGTGTGCTCTTGGCAAAGTTGGCAAGAACATAGGAAGGAGCTGAAAACATTTCAGACTTGAAAAGTACCTCAGAAATATGTGTAATTTCTGGAATAGAGCAGCAAAACATCAATATAACAAGTTCTGCTTTTTAGAGATCATATTCTACTGAGTATAGCGATATTAATTTTCTTTTTCCTTTTTTTTCCTTTCAGCCATAATCAGCAGACCACGTCATTTAGACATCCTGTGACAGGACAGGTTTCTCCAGAAAATATTGAATTTATTTTGCGAGAAGAGTAAGTAGTTTTATACCCATGTCAAGAGATCTAAAACAGTAACACATTTGCCTACAGCAGATTAGTACCTTAATTTATTGACAGTTCTTCCAATATTGTAGGAAAATGAAATTGACATTTGTGCTTAAAATTTTGCTTCTCATTGTGATAGTGACTACTTCCAAGCCCTAGCTTGGAATCAAAAACTATCATTGTGATAGTTTTTGATTCCAAGCTAGGACTTGAGGGAAAATCTATAAAATCTGCAAAAAAACCCAGACAAACCTAAAAATAAACAGACAAAAAAATTACAAAATATACTTAAACAATAATGCTTTAATCTTATATAAATATCAGGTAAATAGAACATAAATGTAAAGTGCATATTGGAAGGTTTGTACTGAAATTGAAATACATATAATACTACTAGTTTCAATTGTATTTCCTTGGTTTTCTTATGATTAAGATGGTCTACATTCATCGGCAGATTTTCTTTGTTCTAAAGAAATGGTGTAGAATATATTTGTGTCCAGCATATTTTATCTTGATTGTCTGATCATTAAAAAAAACAAACAAAAGTAAGAAACGTATGTGTTTGGTCTGGTGAATTTGGTCACCTTTGGGTTGGTGTTGGATTAGGTCATGCACCATTTCTTTGTAGGCTTCAACTCCTCCTTTTGTAGGCTTCAACTCCTTCCTGGCTGCCTGCTAGACGGCTGCTGCCATCCTTCTCTGCTGGAATGACAGGGTATCTTCCCCAGACAGAAAACAGAGTCCTGGACAAAACTCTACATCACTTCTAAAGCCAAAGGGCAAGAAGAATGGCACAGCACCAGGCAGTTTTTCTTTTCCAGGCCAGTTTTCCAGCACTGTTCAGGCAGCCTCTCTCACAGAGTCTGGGCATCCTGCTGTGATGGCCTGGATGTGAGGTTGGTGTGGCTGCCTGCACAATTCTGAGCTCTTTACATTTCAAATTTTGTGACATTGAATTTGCTCTACATTGTGGTAGGACTGCTATTAAAAGCAGTTACAGCATCAAGAAAAATGAGGCCTAGAGGAAGGCTGTTCAACATTCCCAGGAGACTGAGCCTCTTCCGTGTCTTCTCCTGTGACTTGGAGAAGTAGAACGTGGCTGTAGAGCTCAGAGGTTCTGCTACAGCCCTGAGGAGAGCTTCTCAGATAGTTTAAAAGCCAAACCAACCAACCAAAACCAACAACAGCAGCAAAACCCCTAAAAAACCACTGGCTAAACAGCTGCTCTCCCCCAAGGCAAAGCAAAGCCAAGACCAAATCCTATGTCAAGATCCCCGATGGGAGCTAACATGAAGTATAACATTGTAGGAGAGGGCTGTGATTGGTATGAAGGCTGTGGGGTGGCTGCTGAGCTGGAGGTCACCCCAGCTGTCCCATGGCATGCAGGTGCTTTGCTGCTCATGTACAGGTATGAAACAAGCTGCTCCACCTCGCTGTCCTAGTGAGGAGAAACAGCAAAACAGCAAGTGTCACAGAAAGTATGGACAGAGTCACTGAGCACGCGTTCCAGCTTCCGTCCATTAATTGGTTTTTAATTTATCTGTCGTCAGGGTTCAGTCAAATTTAATATGAATTTAAGCATATGTACTGGAAAATAGGTACGTAGTTGGTTTTGGATTTGGCAGGAGTGCCTGCCTGGATTAGTCACAATTGCCTAGGCTGTTTTTTGTTTTGTAGTCATGGCAGCTACAAGATAAATTATTAAAAACAGAATTGAAAAAAAGTATTTGTTGGTGGTACATGGTTTTAGTGATCTTTAATGTATGTTAGGAACTTTTGTGGAAGAGAAATGGAAGTGCTTTTTTGGAGAGGAGTCTGATGAACATGTAGATTTAGTTACACTGAGATGGTATCAAAAGCAGGACAAATCTCACACTGTAGTAGAATTAGTGGAGAGAGGTGGTTTTAATTCTAAAAGAGGAGGGAATGGCTGGAGGGATAGAGAGAATAGTAAATGTTTCTAGTCACTGCTCAGGAAACAGTCTCTGCAAGAATGTTTCTCTAAGCTTTATTATTGGCCTGAAGAATGTACAGCGTCTTTAAAATCAGATGTTTTTAATCTCTCAGTTAAAATTGCTTTAAAAATGTCTTTTTCACGTGTGTGGGATGCTCTGGTTTCCTTAGTTTTGTACCACTTCTGCGCAGCAGTGGGGGTTTACACAGTGGCTCTTCACCATGGTCCTGTGAAGACCTGAACTCTTCACCTGAGTTCCTGCCAGGTGATGATGTTGGCATCTGTGGATGTGTCTGGTGAAATCAGAGGAGCTCTTGGCACCTCCCTGTCCTCAGGCCTAGGAACTGTGATGGAGCTGTGCCTTGTTTTCAGTCCTTTTCCCTCAGGCATCAGGGATTTCTTGGAATCAGTGGTGTTGGTGGTGTGTTTGGAATCAGTGTTGTAGATCCCTGTCCTGTGATGAAAGGATTTCCACCAGAAGGACTCAGGTCACAGAGGCAGTCTCTGGATTGGCATGGTCTCTGGAAACTTTCCATCGTGGCATCCTTGGACCAAGACTGCTTTTTCCTGTGGCTGGAGAACCCTGTCTGAAGCAGTAGGATTCTTAAGGGTTTCATAAAAGCTGGTTTGTTCTTTTGTACTGTTGTGCTGTGATTTATTACTGACTGGTTGATTTTAATTTAAGATTAGGGCCAAGGGGTTGTCAACAGATGTCGACTGGGAGCTACTGGGGAGAAGTGATCACAAACTTGTTTGGGCTGCAACACACATATCTATTAGGAAAAAGGACACATTTTACATCAGAAAAGTAATCTACAGTTGTGTAGAAATGATGAATGTGGGGACTGCTCTGGCCATTCCTCATCCAGTGTTCTGGCCAAGAAGATTTGGAAACAAGTTTTGGAAAATGACACCAAGGAGTGATGTAATCCTAGCTTGATTATGACTCAGTTGTGAACCAAATGCCCTTGGTTCACTTGATCAAATGAGAACTGGACACTTTCAGTAGAAGGCTGGGACTGTATTTCACTAGTATTTCCCCAAGGTGTTTAAACAATATCACATCAATTTTGCTTTTCAAGCTGAAATCTGATTTTCTCAACTCCATTGTAGCCGGAACCCGTGACTTTTGAATTACATTATCTTTTGATCCTTACAGTATTCCTTCTTCCTAAAGGTGTACTAATTTACATTTCTTTTTTATTTTCAATAGTGAATTAGTAATTCCTTATTTCTAAAACATTCTTAGCTGGGACCACTATGAAATCCCTACCTTGTACTCTTTCCAAGCTTAGCAGCTTTGGTCACTTGATGTGTGGGGGTGTGTGTCCTCTATCTTTCACTAGCTCTGCTTGAGAGCCAGCTTTTCTCCATTACACTTTTAGGTTTCTTTTTTTCTCATGGAACGGTTGATCATAGGTGACTGCAAGATTCAGCCTATGAGCTCATTGTTTGTTATAATAATTTAATTGTACTTTTCCTTCTCTATTCCTTTACTAATAATTCTTAACGTTCTTTGGCTGCTGTTACTCATTGAGCCGATATTTAAAAGCTGCAGAGGTGTTTATTTCTTCCTCCTTTGAATTAATTTTCTGTTGTTGGCATTGAATTCAGTTTGGCATCATGGTTGTTTGTATTTGAAGTTTATTTTTCTATCTGTTTCTGCCAGCATTTCAGTTTTTGTCTAGAATAATTTTATTTTCTTTTGACTTGTTCACATCACAGTTTTTAGGATCACATTGAAATAGTCTGAGTATCTTGCTGTATGGGAAGCCCCTCCATTTCACAACTGCCCCTTGATTTCTGTGCTTTGCTTTCATGTTTTTAATGAACCCTTAATCCATGAAGGGATCTTTCTAAAACAACTGATGGAAAAGTGAGAATTAATTATAAGTCTGCTAGACAGGTGTTTGGTTTTTAGTTAGCTACATTGTTACATGTGCATTTCTCTGAAAACAATTATGATAGAATTACTGAGGATAGCTGTATATTGTGTTTAGATTTCTTCTCTCATATCTTTTTTTAAATAACAGTTCTTTAAGTAATTGTGGGCAGAAAGGAAGAATCAGGTACATGCAGCCATGTAAAGAATGTTAAATATCACTAGTTGTGTATTAGGAGCTGTATAACATTTGTCATAGCAGTGTGTTTGCAATGAGAAGGTAGTACTTTAAAAGAGAAACAAGAACATAAATGTAGACATAAGGTGGGGGGGGAAGTATAGTGTGCTTAATCCAATGAGTTCTATCCTCTTTCTTGCCTGTTTCTGTGTGCCTGATAAAACCTGTGTATCACCTCTGGGGAGAGAGCCATCTTATTTTATCTATCGCATTTGGTTACTATAGCAGCAAAAATATCAGGTGGAGAGGAAAGAGGAGACCCAAACAACCCTAAAATAAATATCTACCTTGTTAACGTGTACAGAAACACTAGGGGAGTGTTTTTTTTTTTTTTTTTAATCTAGCTGATTAGGAAATTTATTAGTAATAAAACTACATTGACACAATGTTATTGCAACATGTCTGATTTCAACAAATAAACTTTTTAAGTTGCTGGTATGGATGTGGATCTTCCAAGTCGACTGATCTTTATGGTCTCTTGTGAGTATTGCATTTCCAATGTGGGCTACTGGTGTAGTCTTTTTTTTTTTTTATTGTTCTTCTCCAGCGTCAGGATTTTTAATAACCCAGATGTTGGCTATGTAATTTTTTCAGCTGGTAAATATGGTTTCTGGAGACATACTAGCAATGTTTAAGTAGAGCAGGGAGTTGCTTGACAGGAGATATTATATAGAGTGTTATTTTCAAGTACTTAAAAATATTTACACAGTATTGGAGCTCCAAATGGACACACTGCAATTCTGTGTGTGTATTCACACACTTGTGGGAGGCAGTAAGAAAACTAGCCTGAAAATAGTAAAACACCATCACTATGAAGACAAAATGGGGTATCTTGGATAACAGATATTATCAAACATCTTTGGTAATAGTAACTTTGAACTAATGTTTCTGAATGCAGAGTTAATGCTGTAATCACTTATTTTTGAAGTTGAATCTGTAAATATTATTAGGACGTTGTTAATTCCCTTAACAGGCCAGGATGTTTCAGGTAATTCTGCATATTCTGCCTGTTTTTATTTGCTTTTAAAAACACTGAGGATATTGATTAGCTGTTAAAAGACTTGGATGCCTGAGTTTTATGTTCTGACTTCAGGCAAAAATCCTATTGTAGCCTTGAAATACTATATACAAATACTGAAATAAATTTGCAGTGTTGTTTTGTGTTTTCTGTTAAATGTTGGGTGCAGCAAGCTTGCATCACCAGGTTTGCTACTGAAGTCTTTTTATTGGAGAATAATAATGTATTTTCTCTTTCAATGGACTTAATGTGTCTTTTACTTGTTATCTGAATTCTTCCATGGCAACAAACTCACTTTTTTTAAAGAGCATTTTTCTTGTGAATTTAGAGTTCATCATTAATTTGATGCTACCAGAAAAGGAAAGCCTGGTTTCTTGGCAGTGATCACTTGTATAGCAAGTGGAAGAGCAATCACAGTATGATCACATAATAAATGCTTAGAAATTACATTTTTATCATTCTGTATTGTATTATGATTTTCTTGTGATGGTCTTGTTAAACATATAGCTTATTTTGCTCTGGAATTCTTCTATTTTTTTTGAAAGTGCAGTATGTTTAACCTGCTGTGAAACAGCATTTTTGAGAATAGGGAAAATCTGTTAAATCAGAGTACAAATTTTAAGTCAAAGCCATTCCTCTGGGGTTATTCCTTCTTCATTAATTTTTTATTGGAAAAATTAATTCTAATTTGTCAAAACTTAAATTGTATTTTTCATTTTCCTCAACAGAAATAGCTTAGTCAGTGTCATACATGGGAAGTTTCTTAATCTGCATTTTGCAGAGACTGGATTAAAAGGTGGTTAAATGCTGAAGTAGGGTACCTGGCCCATAAGAGGTGAGGCAAATTGACTCAAACTGACATGATAAAGTTCTCTTGCTTTAAAGGATGGCGAGGAATTTTAGGGGCTTGCTGTAGGTTGTTCTTATGTCTTGGACCTGAGGTTATATGTAAAATCTGGAAAGGAGTAATTTATGCCAGATATGCAAGGTATAAATAAAATGGGACCTAAGTTCTGTTACTTACTTGCAACCTTCGTTGAAACCCTGGTCACAAATGGAAAAATATGGAAAAACCACCTATACAAGCTTTTGGACAGATTAAGTTCAGGTTGTAACTGAGGCAGAGCAGTGGTGGAAAATACTTTGTCCTCTGTTAAGCCTTGTGTTGAGCTACTAAAATCACAGACTTTTCTGTCTCATGATAACTGGGCTGACTCCTCAGAATTATTCTGTACTCTGTTGTGTTCAGATCTGGGATTTCAGTGGTAGTAGCAACCATGGTTGGTGTACCTTGTATATCATTTTTGGTTTTTCTAATAAAAGGCTTTGGTAACTGGGAAAAGGAAAATCAGGTGTTGTTAATTGTTTGTTTTGTTGTGTGTTCTTTTCTGATGTGACTGTATTGCTACTTGTTATTTGCTAAATTATGTTGTTAATGATTTTTCAAAATGCCACCTGTGGTTTTAATTTCATTCAATGCTGGTGTCGAGTTCGGCTGCTGAAGCTTCTCTTCACAGAGATTTTATTTTGCCCTTCCATTTATTCACTCAGTTCTTCATCTGGGTGGCTGTACTGAATTCTTACTTGTTGAACAGGTTCTTCTGGTAGGATTGACCTCACTTATGCTTTAAATGGATATCTGAGCTAGTTATCAGGATTTCTGGAATCTTAGGATGACTCAGAAATTACACATTTCTAACAACTATCTGCCCTGAATTGCACCATTTTGCTTAAAAGGTATTTTAATAATTCATATTGCTATGAATCGTGTTCTGGGCAGATTCAAAGATATGGCATTAAGTTAGTGAAAGATCTAACAGCAGTCTAGACTCAGTTTGATTTTAAATAAAAAGCCTGTTGTTGCCAAGTGCTGATTCCTGTCCTTTTCTCCCCAGTACTGGCTCTTTCACAGGTTTGTGGCCAATTCTCTAAATTGGGCACAGCTTGGTTTCACTGCACAGGCCTTATCTTCTCTCTTCCTGCACTCCTTGTTAGATCTTGATTCTCTCTTGGATTTGCAGACAGTTTGGCAGGTTTCTGCCTCCTGATGCGTAGACAAATACCAATCATCAGATGTCACTGCTTGAGAAAAACCTGAAATCAGAATAACAGGAGTGGTGCAAAGGAACTTGCAGACACACGGGAGATATTTGACTAACTTGTTGTTCATTTGCACACTGTGAATTTTAAATATAAAAAGCCAAACTGAATGTTTGAAACAATGTGCTTTAGATTATCTGGTTTTGTTTGCTTTCTAGACAGAATTCATCTATGTCCAACCAACAAATAAACCAAAGGCCTTCAAGCATGGTCAGTGAAACGTCCACTGCAGTAACTACGTCTGCTGTTGATACAAAACCTGGCTCTAAGGTAAAGGAAAAAGCTATTTTTTTCAGCTTGTTGATCACAACTTCACTCATTTTAAATCCAGTATTCTCATGCTGATTTCAGTAGGGTTGGGGATTTAGCTGGAAGTCTCAGAGAAGAGGCAATATCTTCTACCCAGCCACAAACCTTTTGTCAGCAACCTTTTGTCATGCCTACATGACAGCATTGAATGGTAACTTCTTACATTGTGATTATTGGGATGTAGAAAGTTTGGGTCTTAAAAATGGAAGTAAATATATGGAATATTAGTATTTCAGCAAGTGTTTTGGTGGTCCGTTGTATGTGGCAAAAAGTGATGTATGATAACGGGAATTTGCAGTTCTTTTTCATGAAATCTTACTGCCTCTCCTCATCCAAGTAACAAGTAAATCCCTTTCTGCCCTCACTGCATTGCACAAGCAGTGTAGGCACCAAGTTCACACACATAATGTTTAATAATAGAAAAGTCCATTCCTTGTCATTGACAAAGGACCTGTGTCCATTATTGAACAGAATAAAATAAAGTGCTGTACTTGAAGTGTCACCATCTATTTTAATACTTCTTTGACCTTACAATAAATTACAGAGCAGTGACAATGGTAGTGGGTGGATGAAATGGATAGAGCAATATTGAAAGAATTAGCCGAGATCATTTTCTTAACTTTGACAGCAGTACTTAAACTTCTCAGTTGGTTTTCTTCTAAATGCAAAAGAGGGCAGCCCTTTATGTAGCTGAGTTTAAGAAAGGACTTCACCAAATTGATTGTGAAGATATTTTGTTTAGTTGGAATACTTAAAATCTTTTAATAATGTTTTGATGTGCTTGAGTACAGGAGATTATACAATTTCATAAGAAGCTAAAAATTATTTGTTTTAAAATTATTTTTTGAAACCTTAAGTGTATTAGTTATTGGACCAACACAAAGATTATAATGTATCATATCTCAAGATTACATTTATCTTTAAAGTGCTGGATGAAATTATCACTGCCAACAGTAAGCTTAGTTCGTTACTTGAATTAGTTGAAACACTTCTTTTTGATATTTGAAGAGTTGAATTTACCAAAGTATGTCGGCATTTGTTTTTACCATATTTAGCCTCCTTACTCTGATTTTTTTTAAAGCCTGCATTAGAGGCAGAAAGCTCATTTTTCCCCTTTTTAAACCAGCAAAAACTTATTGGGGTCCTGATAGGGTGCTGTGAGCTGGGGAGTTCTCCAGTGACACAGTTGGCTTTAACTTGGCCAGGATCACACTTCTGCCAAAAAGTGTGCATCCTCTGACCCGGGCTCTTGCTGCTTCCCTCTGTCACCTGCTTGCAGTGATCCAGTCAGAGACCAAAAATGGGGACTGGATTCCACTCCTAGGCCACCCACATGCTGGGGGCTAATTCACAGGGCACGTCAGAATCACGCAGCTGAACAGAATGGTAAAGCTTAGAGAATGTCCAGAATCACCTCCCAAGGCTTTGGTTGGAATGGTTTTGGTCTCTCTTTCTATTCTGATTGCAGTCCACTGTAAGGGTGGCTGTGCATGCTTCTGGCAGGCTCCCAGGTGTAGATTTTTAACACATGGCTGCTTTAGACTTAGAATAAAGCTCTCAGAGAGGCTTTGCCAGTACTTTGCTTATCTATCAAGTTTGTCTTTATAAGATCCATTCTACTTTGGGTCCTTAATTAAGATGAACCAACATCTTTGCTACATATGCTGTGTTTCATCGTTGCATGTGTTAACAGGCTTGAAATCACTTCTCTTGTTTCATAGAGTCAGATCTGTTGAATTCCTTGTCAGTCTAACACAAAAATTATTTTAAGTGAGCTAGCAGTGAGAAAAAAGGCTGTAAAGTAACCTGCGTCCTCCACTTTGAGGTTGACTTTTGGCAGGTTGAGAATAGCTTTTAAGGTCTTTCCATCTATTCCTGAGTGTTTTCTTCCCTGAATTCCATAATCATTCTTTCAAAGAGCTGGTTCTCAGATGCAGACATGAAGCACAATCATGAAGCCAAAGACATGTTCATGTTATCTACTTAGCCATGGCTAATTATTATTATTTTTTATTAAATACTTCTATAATTTGCCTTGCAAATGCCATCACAGAATGGTGTATCCATAGTGTTGGAATCATGGCCAAATTCAGACTTTTTTCCTATAGAGCTGTGCACATTTGGCGCCAGTATTTTGATGCAGGAACTGTCTGAGTAAGTAATCTAAAGACTTTAGACCAATGCAGTCTATCCTGCTCTTTGACATTTGAGGGGTATGGGGTTGAGGGAATGAAAAGCAAAAGGGCATTTTGATAAACTGCAGTTATTCTCTGTCCCAAAGATCTTGGTCATAGCCAATTCGATTACACCATTAGCCATATTAAAAGCCATTTATATTGATTAATAATTAAGGTTATGGAGGAATAAGGATCTGTTTCAGTTTGACAGTAAGGTACATTTGGAATTTAGTCTGTTGAAATGTCTGGTGGTGTGAAGGGTAGTTTGTAAATGTTACTATGCCACACAGGACTTTGGCCAGGTCAAAAATGAAAGGACAGTAGGGAATGTGTTTGCTACATTTTGAGAGCATGCTTTGGATGGGTTCTGCATAACAGAAGTCATTGAATGGTTGATGACACTGGTAGTTGCTGGTATTTCTCTGAGGTAAACTGCTGAGGAATGCAAGTAAAGAATGTGTCTAGCAGCTGGAACAAGCAGTGGTGACAGGAATGTGATGTGACAGGAATGTGATGTGCCAGCTCTGGGACTGTCTGGAGCTGGAGCGCAGCACAGGGTCTAGTTCACAGCCACTGTATGTGAATGCTCAAAATTTGGAGATTTTTCAAGAGTTTCAGGTTTTTCTATCTGAAAAATAAGGATTTTGTATCATTTCCTTAGAGATACTGGAAGGATTCATAAGTTCATTTCTAACTGAAACACTTAGATTTTTTGACTTAAAGAGTTTATGACTTAAACAGGTGGCTTTTTATGGGTTGATTTTTTAAAATGCCTTCTAGGTTGAAAGTTCCATGTTTTATCATGCATATGTATTTGCATATTTTGACCAAAATACAGTCTTCCTGCTTACTATTTTAAAAATCTGTTCCAAAAAAAGTCAGTCTATACTTTTTTTTGTTAGTCCTGTTTAAAAGAAAGAAAAAAGCTACATAATAAGTTAGCAACTTTCCTCCTCAGCTACAAGCTACTGTAAGAAAGATGAGGCAGTGATGGAAAGGGATTTGAAAATTTTGGCTTTTGACATTTTTGAGTTTTGTTGCAAAAACTTAGCAGTCATTCACAAGCAAGTCAGCATAACAAATGCACTGAAGTCAAAAGTGACTTTTGTGTCTTCAGTGATACAGACAGCTGTGCTGACCTGCATTTTTAAATCCTGACAAGGATATCAGAAGAATTCAAGTTAGGAAAAGACCACTGCAATGCAGAGAAATAGTTTAAAAATATACCTTTTCTTTTAGACCAATTTCTTGGTCTAGCCAGTGGAAACAAGGCATGACTAATTATCTGTTATGCTTTGCAGTATCTGCTATGCTTTGTTTTGTTCCAGAGCAGAATGAGATGATCATACTGAAGATTATATGAGAATTTTAATTACATAAAGTACCATAAAAAGATAATTTTTTTCCCATTATAGGTATTGGATAGACATATAATACACAGCCTATGGAAAAATTTTCCTACTGCTATGCCATGGAAATTATTTGGTCTTTTGACCAAGTCCAAGGATGATTTTTCTACATTGTGGTCTGCATTTTTAAATTATTAAGATCAGAGAAAGTGCCTGATTGGAAGATCTGATTAAAAAAAATCAAATTTAAATGCTGCTGTAAGGCTAGATCAGCTGCGCTTCAACTGCACCTTGGTTCCTTCACCCTTCCAAAGATCTATATGACAGAATGATTAGGAAACTAAATTCTGTACATTTTGTAAATTGATTTACGTTCAGCTGCAAAGTATAAATAAAGTAAAAACAAAATAAAAATAGGTTGACTTTCAGAGCTTTAACAAATTTGGGCTTCATTATTTTTCATCACCTTTTTAATGTAGCTGTTGCATCTTAACATTCGGCAGGAATTTTTAAAAACTCAACTGTATTGTTGACTTCTCATTTTTCTTTAAAAAAGCCTGTATATGGCTGTGTTTGCCCGAAGCCAGTGCTCTGCAGCCTGAGTGCCTTAGCACAGGTCTGGCAGAGACATAGCCTGGGAGATTTGGTGATACCATCCTGACCTGACTTCTGCTGCTTTTGCCAGCTGGGCAGGGGCACCTCCTCAGAAACCTGTTTTACCACCTGCTCTGCTGGGTTTGTGCCAACAGCCCTGGACAGGTGGACAAGGAAAGGCTTTTTCCTCAGGTGATGACCTGTGGTGCCCTGGGTCTTGTGCGGGCTCTCACTGAGCTCTCTGGGGAGGTGGCACTGCTGGGGAAATCCTGCTCCTCACTCCTGTTAAATCTACCTTGCTGCTTTCTATGCTGTAGCACCAAAAAAGAAGTGCATTTTTTTCATACTGGTTTTAGCTATGATCTTAACCCTTCATAAAGACAGGAAATTTCGTGCAGATTGGTAAAATCTTCATCAATCAACAACAACAAAGTCTTCATCAATCAATCAACAGAATCCATTTAAAGTTATAATATTTGCTAGAATTATTTACACTATATGCTGTCCAGATGTTGCCTGACTGGCAGGAGCAGTACACTGAGATATTTTTCTGATGTTATCCCTTGTGTGTGATGAATATACTTGTTTCCAGTGCTGCTGTGTGCCTGCAACCCACAGAGCATCTGTACCCTGACAAGCTCAGAGATTAAAAAGAGAGACACTGTAGTAAAGAATTTGGACAGCTCTTTTCTTGGAGAAGTTGGCAGCAAATGTAAGGGTAGTCTGTCCGGAGGCAATTGGAGGATCAAACTGGGCTGAGGCTGGAAAAGAACAGGCAAATTACTCATAGAGTGATTCGTGCTTTTTCACACATGGATGGGCCTTGCTTGTTTGTTTTTGAAATAGTTTTGTCCATGTGGGTCAAAACTGAGGTTTCAGTGAGACACAGATCATTACCTAGTGCTTGTGATTTCCACTGGCTGCCCTGTAGGTCTCTTCCCTGGTAGCGTCACTGTCTTCTCCTTTTGTTTGCAGGGCCAGAGTCCAAGCATTTTATTAAGCTATCAGTGTTGTTTGAATTTAAACAGGAAAGAAAAATGAAAATCCACCAAAAAAACCCCGTCAAAACCCCTGCTAAAGCCAAACAAAGAAGAGCAAGAGTAAGATTCATCTGCTCAAAGTCCTGTGCTTCTAAGAGACTTGTGCAATATTTTCCACAGAGACTTGCATGCAACTCTCAAAAATTCTTCCCAGGCACACTAAAACTTCCACAGTTCCGCCTTCTGACTTGACACACCAGTGCTGCTGCTCTTCAGCAGGAGCTGGCACACCATCCTGATGGAGGTGGAAGATTGACTTTGCTCTGTTGTAAATATCATTGCCTGTTTACTTGCCCTTGAAAATGCCATGAGTACTTTGTTGCTGTGTAATGAAGTATAAGTTATTGCAGTGAGAGTATTTGTAATGTGAAATGAGTCTCAGTATGGTTTAGAAGCCACTGCTCCATTATACTTCACAGGTTGTGAAGACTGGAAACAAAGTTCACAGCTTTGGAAAGAGGGAACAAGCCATCAGGAGGAACCCCAATGTTCCTGTGATAGTAAGAGGCTGGCTGCACAAGCAGGTATGGATCTCATCACCTGTTTCTGTTCATGTACTTCAATGCAATCATTGGGGGCAGCCAGTGCTTCCAAGGAACTGAGAAAGCAGAAGCTCCAGTGTTGGTGGTACAGGGCAGTGCTGGGTACTTCCACAGACTTCCATAATGAGGAATTTGTTCTTAGAAAGTGAAAACCAAGGTTTACAAATGGCTTTGATTCAGAAGAGGAAACTGATAAATACACATCAGCATCACAGCTCAATGTTGAAGCTATAACTTTGTTATCTAAATCTGGTTATTTTCCCTGGTTTATCCTGCTGGCCTATTGCCAGGCTGATCTTTGACTCCCTCAGAACACAGTCAGCCTGAGGCTGGCTGTGAAGGCCTTATTCTATCTACTTGGTTATGCCCTTCTACCCTGATCAAAGGCTTAATTCTAGCCCCTATGCCTTTTTGTTCTCCAGAAGCAGGAAGGAGAAAATTATGGGAAATGGGGACACATCCACCACACATTGCTCTCACCAAGAGCAGTAGCCAGCAAAGACTGGATTGTAGAATTTCATCCAATAAACAGAGTTCTACAGCTGCTGTGTCTTGAACTCTTAAGCTGACAGAAATACATCTTTAAGTGTAATAAGTAAATAAAGCTGTTTGTTATATGAGAATAATTCCCCTGCTTCTCATTTGGCAGCCTATGTCTACCAGATGATGACCAGAGATCCAGCAGCTAGATTTCGGGGTGGGCAGGGGAAGGCTGAAATCTAAGGCTTACAATTATGGTTTTACATGCACAGGAAAGTGAAATAGCTGACAGCTGTCTGCTTCCTCCTGGGTGGAGAGATGTAACTCTGCTGTGTTCCAATCTCAGCTCTGTTGACATCCACTACCCGAGTCCATAAGTTCTCAGGACAGAATCAGAACTCAGACACAATATGTGTTGCCAGCCTTGTAGCATGAAAATGGGAGGGGAGGAAAGTCCTTCCATACTTAATTTGATTGCAGAAAGGAGGGGGGAAATAGCTAGGGCAATGTTGTGTCGCCTATTTCCTTCTGTCCCCTAACCTTTGCTCGTAAACCCTTAAAACCTGAAGGTGCTTTTTATCCTGCTGGTCTCATCAAAGCCTACCCAAGCTGAAGAAGTTGTACTTGCCTAGGTCTGGCAATTTTAAAAGCTTCAGAAATTAATTTCAATGCAAATAATACTTATTTTGACAAGGTTATATATATCTATATCTTTATATATCTCCACAGGCATATTATATTATCGTTCATTAAAATTTCCACATTATGCATCCTGTTTTATTTCCTAAGGAATATTTGATTAAATTACATTTCAGGCATGGGTAACATATGGTGATTGAATTATAGGATATCATTGCCTGAAATGTGAGGTCATACTTCACAGCTGTGTAGTGATTTTCATTTTGGTCTGCAGGCAGTCTTTGTTGGAGTTTGTGCTATCCAGAAAATCACTTTGTTTCCTTATTGCAAATAAATCTGAGCAGATAAAATAAGCATTGGTTGTGTACAAGGTTAATCTGAATGCTGTTTGGGATGAGGGTTTAATTACTTAATGAAAATTAGCAGTTTGTCTCTTCTGCCTTCATTATTTTGTAGCTGCATGTTTTGCCTCTTATCTTGCTTAGTACACAATATTTTGCTAAGATATAAACCATTTGTTTTACACTTAGCTATCATGTTTAGGTAGACTTCTGGTAAACTACTCACTGGATCAACGCTGTCTGTTTATTTTGCTTAAATGAGAAGTGTACCACATTTCTTGCATTTCAGGATAGCTCTGGAATGCGGTTATGGAAGAGACGATGGTTTGTGCTTGCTGATTTTTGTTTGTTTTACTACAAAGGTGAGTAAATGTTAGCTGTTTTGAGCTGGTCTGAACTGTTTACCTGTACAAATCATGGTGAATGCATGAACTAACTGTACTCTTCAGAAAAAGTTAGTTGTTCTGAGATGAACAGTGAAACAACTACTTGGCCAGACATCTTGAATGCACAGCAAATTCTAGCCCAGAGTAGAGGAAGCAAAGGATGCCGTATGATATTTTTTCACATAATTTGTGTTTGATACATGCCATGGTTTATGTTGCAGAACATCTGACTGGAATAAATAATATTCATCCCATCTCTGGTATCTGTTCTGGTACTTACTTGCTTGCACTTGGACATCCGAGTTTTTTGAGAAAGTGCAGTAGCCAGATCAGCGCATTGGTTTAGTTTTAATCCAAGGGACAAAAAAAAAGGTTAAATTTGGTCTTAGACCAAACTAGGTAGTGCATAAGGTTATTTTCAAGTTTTGAATACTTCATATGCTACAATTTTTGGAAAGCATCACAGAATATCAGACTTGGTGTTCATATTTCTAGATGCTGCATTTCTGCTGTCAGTCACTTGGAGCCAGCAGTAAGAGAGGTTTCCTAATTATAGCCATTAGCCTAGATGAACAGTGCTAAATGGAAGGTCCATCATGTTTTACAGCCTGTCACTGCTCATTTGGCACAATAAGCTTTATTATTGAAGTGTGTTCTTCTGGCTGAAGGTAAAAAGTAGCATCCAACCCCAACCCCCCAAAAAAGAGAAAAAACCTCAATAAGACCCCAGTCTGATTAAGAAAACAAACTCCAATCTTTTTTCTTTGAAACTAAAATATTTTTCTGCACATATTATTGGTGTTGAGTCACAAGTGAATTTGTGTCAGAAGGGACTTCAGGAAGTGTCCCATCCCAGTGCTGGGTGAAAGCAGGGTCAGGAAAGGAGTCAGCCCAGGTTGCTCAGGGTTTAATCAAGTCAGGCATTGAAAAGCTCCAAGGGTGGAGATGGCACAGCTTCTTACTTGGCCTGTGCCCCTGCTGCTCTGTCCTTGGGAAAATGCTTTTTCTTATGTTCAGTCTGAACCACTGTTGTTTCTGCTTAATGCCTGTTTTTTCTGTGTCCATAAAGAAGAGTATATTGTTAGCCCACTGAACAGTGCAGGGAATTAAATTCTATTTTTTTATTCCACAGACAGCAGAGAAGAGTCTGTTCTGGGGAGCATCCCATTGCCTAGTTATGTCATATCTCCAGTTGGACCTGAAGATCGTATAAATCGCAAATTTTCTTTTAAGGTACATTTGCAAAGCTGATCAGCTAATCATAGTTTATTTGCATTAGAAAAGCTGCTGTTGTAAACAAGAGCACCATCTGTTTTCCTATTTTACTTGTTATTAGCTTTTAAAAGCAGAGAGGTTTATTAACTGCCTGTTCAAATGTGACATAGCACTTTTATTTTTTTGCTTATGAATTGACATTCATGTCTGTTACTTTTTAAGTGTCCTTAGAGCTTAATGAAGTGTCTCTGAGTAAAGAGCCTGTTTCTAAAATCAGAAATGAGTATTGACAAGTTGTTCCAGTACTGTGTACAAATTGGAAGAAAAGTTGTCTTATTTACTTTGTAATAGAGCACTTGATCTCATAATGGGCTGATGTCTGTTTGGTTCTGTTGTGGTTTTTTTAAAAAGAAAAGAATCGACTCAGCTCTCACAGGTAGAAAATGACAGCACTTAGTCATCCTAAGTGGTATGGACTTTTTAAAAGGAAAAAGTACTCTTGTTTGATATAGTTTATGGGTTTTGTGGGTTTTTTTCTCTCTAAAAATAAATCTAATTGTACAATTTACAATTCTGGTCTTCATTATAAAAGCCCACAGATATGAAATAAAACATATACTTCTTGATAGTGCCGAAACCTGACTCCAAATGATTGTCAGAACCACTTAGGCAAAGTTCATAAACATCCATGCTTGTGGCAGATTTAAAGTCAGAGCAGAACTTGTTTCTCTGTCAAGCAAATCAGCTACGTAAAGTAATTTACAAATCAGGTTTTGATCAGGCATACTTCAGGAGATCTAGAAGGAATCTCTCTTTAAATATTTTCTGTGCTGAAATTATGAAGAACACGTGACTTTCTCTTGCATTTTATTTTTTTGAGGTGTTTTTAAAATTGAGGCTGCCTTTTTTACTTTCAGTTCTATGTTCAAGTGGATAGTGGTTTGAAATTTATTAAGCAAATATTAACTTGGGAAATGGGTTTAAAAAAGACCTGGTGCACTTTGTGGAAATGTTTACTGTACTTTTTCAAATGCATCGAGCATGAGTTATCAGGATAAAGCTACAAAGAAGTCTTTGTTTAAGAAAAACATTCCACCTCCAGTATTTACTGAGTGTGATTCATAAAGCCCTCCTTTTCTAGAGCCTTTTCCTAGGAGGAAGCATGTACTGAAAGAGGAGAACTCAATGTGCTCTTCTAGGGTTCCCTGGTTTTTTTTTTTTTTTTTTTTTTTTTTTTTTTTTTTTTTTTTTTTTTTTTTTTTTTTTTTTTTTAATTCAAATGGTGTTCACACATGCTCTTAAGTCACCACTGGCCAAGTGGAGTGGAATCCATGGTTTGGTCATGGTTAAACCTTTCCAGAAGCAAATGCAGGCTTCCCCTGTTCCTTTAAGGATATCATACCTGTATGAGCTCTGCCAGGTATTTAGTCTGAGTATTTTTCTGGAAATATCATGAGACTTTCCACTCAGGGTCTATCTGTATCTATTGATACAGGTAGAAATAGGGTGTTGATAGCAAAAGAAAGTTTATGCTAGAAAACCCTGTAAAAAAAATCAGCATTTCATGTATCAGTTAGTCGGGCCAGTTGTAACTCTGCTTTAGGTGTTTGATGATTGACTGCAGGCTGGATGCTGCAGTTTGATTTTATTCAGACCCAACCCCAAGGGCAGCAGGAGGATTTTGTGTGGTTCCTGTCCAGCTCTGATGTTCTGTGGTCACAGAGTTGGCTGTGGGCACCCCCCAACAGGAGCACCCCGTGCTGGCATCCATCACTCAGCAGCCATTGCCTTTATCTGCTCTCTTCAGAGCACCTCCAGACCCAGAGCCTAGTTGGACATTCTGTCTCACAGCGTAGCACAGCCAGAAATAGAACACACAAGCAGATTAAGCCCAAAATAATGATAAGACTTTTTTTGCATTGAAGACCTGAATGAGTGGGAGAATGTGCCATGGTGCTTTTTACATTTGGCCTGTTCTTTGTTGAGGTTGTTGTAAATCTTCTGTTACAACAGAAGAATTGACTCCCATCTGAAGCAGCAGTGAGTTTGGAAGCTAGGGAAACAGCAAAACTGGAAAAAAATTCAACTCTTTTGTTTGCAAAACTAGAGGAAGGAAATTTGCTAAGCAAATACATGGATGCTTTTTGCATATGATTTGGTTAGAAGGAGGCTTGTAAAATACATGCTCACTAGAGTCGTGTCAAACCCTGCAAAATGTTAAAGCATGTACTGTAGGAGTTCTCAAAATCCTTTTCCTTTCTTCACCTCCTGAGGTCCAGCCTAAGGTTTTGTGTCTCTTTGGATGTTTAACAATTACAGACCTGCAGAACAGCCTACAGGCTTTTGAAATGCTATCAAACCCATACTTTGAACTATATCCGTATGTTATATTTTTTTTTTTGGTTGTTTAGAAACTGTGCTTTTAGGTCTCTATCTTGATACAATTTTTGAGTCTTGACAATTTTTTCACTTCCTCTATTTGTGCCAAGCAAAGTGCTGTGACTAGCTGCAAGCCACTGTCACTAAGCTGTGTGTGAGCCTAGAACTCATCCTAAAGATATTTAGTTAACCTAATAGCTGCATTTTAAAGATTTTTTATTTTGTTGGTACCAATATGAGTGAGCACAAATTCAGTGTTTAATGTGAAAAGGCTAGCAAAGCATTCATATATAGCTGGAAATACTTCCTGTCATTAACAGAGAAATGACTGTACTTTGCAGTAATACAGTAGTTTTGGACAAGAATAGTATCAGTTTGTGGCGGTTCATGTCCTCACAGTCTCTTTAGAAGCCTTGTTATCCTCAAATAAGGAAAATTATTTTTAATTGGTCTTACTAATGGAAGTATTTGTTCATTGCTTAGACCACTGAGACCAGGACAAACTTCCTATCTGTTTTTGATCTCACTGGTTTTCAAAAAAAAAAAAAAAAAGTGACATAGTTTGTTCCTTTATGTTCTCTGAGTCAGTGTTGCTTCCTTAGGCTCCCATATTGCTCTGGGTCTGGGGAGTCAGGTGAAGAAATGCCAAGGGTTGTAAATTTGAGAGGTGCTGTTTTCAAATTTGGAAGAGGGGAGGGTTGAAGCTTCTAGAAATCCTCAAAAAGCTCTATTTTATTTAAGGGTGAAAGATGAGTTGGATTGTAGTGGGATGTTGTTGAGTTTGTAGTGAAGGCTCAGAGTATTATTTCAGTTTTTGCTCAGAAAGGTTCATAAATATCAAAATTCAGAAGAAGGAAGATTTTTCTGTATATTATAGCTTATTGACAGAACTAACTCAGAAATATTGCAATTATTAGAAAACTGTTCCCTTAGTTATCCCTTTGTTCTGTGAATGGTGGCTTTTCTGTCTTAGGTATTTTGAACAAGTGGAGATGAACATAACACCTGTAGGCATTAGTTACTTTTAGTGCACTCTTTTGTTAAGTGGATTTTGGGGTTTGGGTTTTGTTTTTCTTTTAAAAATATGAATATTTTAATGATTTTAACTTGTTTAATTTTTTGTCCTTGTCTTGTCCTGTTGATATGCTCTTGGGGTTTACTGTCCATTTCTCCTACTGTGCACTATGGGAGAGAGACTGCTTTTCTTCTCAATCTATCCACATTAAGGCATCTGAATGCATGAATAGGTACCAATATTATTTTTTCCCTGTTGTGTGTATGGTGTACCTGTGAGCATGTGCTGTGTTCTAGGCTTTTTAGTATGCTGTAGCCATCCTAATAGCTTTGGCTTTAAAAAAAATCCCAAACCCAAAAGGCCTACTAGCTTCTCTCTGCCAGCAGGGACAGCTACAGGATGCTGGCACAAAGTGGCTTTCTTGCATTTAAAACACACTACTAATAAATAACTGAAATAAGTTTGAATTTTCCCTTAACCAGTGTTATATATGGTGAACTTCAGGATATAGTGTTTGTTGATAACCACACACTATCTCCACTATCCCTTCTGAAGCTGGGCATGTTTGTGGCTGTGAGAGCTTCAATCTCTCAAGAGAGAGTGGTGCAGCACAGTTTGCATTTTGATACTGTTTTCACCTGCAGTGCTTGCAGCTGTGTTCAAAGAGAAACCTAAAACACAAGTGGGTTATGTTGATCAGGGCGTACAGGTCAATTAAACCAGCTGTTAAATCAATTTCTTGGTGTGGTATGCAGTCTCTGCAGATAGTTCCCTAAAAGTCTGGGTTTTTAAAGCAAGTATAAAACCAGTGAATGGTTGGGTCCTACTGCATCATCTGCAGTGGGACATGCATAGTCTGCTTTGCTGCAGGAATTGATTCACTTCTGAATTTTAACACCTTCTGTGGGATCAACCTGCTCTGTGGAGGGACTCTGTAGTCATAAGGTCTCACATCAAAGTCACCATTTTCCCTTATATCTGGAGCTGCCAGGTTTTGGTCTCTTCATACACTGGATGGTAACTGTAAATTATAATGAATTAATGCTTCTAAATCATATTTGCGTTGAGCATTCTCGTGTTCTGAAAATGGAGAAAAAAAAGAGAACCCCCAATAACAACAAAGAAAAACCAAAGAACTCAGCGAGGCAAACATGAATAAAGTCCTTTGATTTCTAAATATGTGATTGATCAGAGCTGTTGTTTAATATGTGTAAGTCCTGTTTTCCTGTGTTCAGGTGGTCAACTAATGGTGGGAATTGAGAAGAAACCACCTTGTATTCCCTTTTTGGCCAATGCTGTTGGGAAGTGGAGACTCTTCTGAGCAGGAGAGAGTCTTGACTTCTTTATGTAACCTTTTCCTTCTCTTCCTTCTCCTCCTCCTCCTTTTTCTAGCTGGCTGTTCTACTTCAGTCTCCAGTTTTCAAAACAAGCTCAGCCTTCCTTGCTTGAGGCACAGAAGGGAAAGGCCACGTTTCACACATTCAGGGGAACAGCCTGCCATGGGAAGGGAGGAAATTTTGCACAGAACTTACTTAAAAGCACTGTAATAGCAAGCACATATTTTGCTCTTTGGAGTTGTTGATACAAGTCTCTGAGGTCATGGTAATTTGGGAAATTCTGGGTAAACAACTGAAGTTAGAATGTTTAGGAAGGGCTGCACTGGATTAAATAGCCTGGGTTTTCTCAAAACTTTTATTTCTGAAGCCGTCTATGATTGCCTCTACAATGATTTTTTAAAAATTTGATTTAGGCTAACAATGGGGAGAGGATTTCATCAATATAAAAAGACCAATAATTTAGGCAGGATTTACAGAATACATTTACCCTTTAAAAACAGAAGTAGCCAAATTAAAATTTTGGTATAATGATTTTTCTTTTTAAAAAACCCCATGTCATCAGTATTTAATGCTATTAGTTTTTGAGTGTGATAGCAGGCTTAGTTTTATAAAAATAAGTTTAAATTACTTATTTTAATATTATTATTTTAATATCATTACAAGAGCTTTCAAGCAGAATATACTGTATTCAGTTTTTTTGGAAAGTAAGGAGAGGAATCTCTTCCTGCTAAACTGAAGCGTTTAGATGATTTGGTAATATTTATACTGTTGCTAATACAAATATGGATGAGATTTGATTAAATTCAACTAGCCTAGAGTTAGCAAGGTATTCCATATTGAATCAATTTGAATATTGAATATATTTGTGGAGAAATTGCCCAGTACCTTTGGTTTGCAGTGGAATTTCATGGTGTATTTTAGTGTGCAGAGATAATTGTCAGTATTTGATGTGCTGTGATAATTCCATCAGTATTACTAACTTTTATCAGTACGTCTTGTGACTTTGCAGCTAATACATGTTCAAGTTCAAGTGCATGCTTTAACCAAAAGATGTTAACATGCATTATAAACAATTCTTGAATTAGCAGTTTAATTGCTTAAAAGGTAAGATTTTTGGCTGTGTTTTGTTTGAATAAATTTCTTTATTAAATGAGCTGGGAAGATTGACTTGCTGATGCACATCTCATTGAGAATTCCTTAAATTTGTTCAGTATAGGAATTTCTTCAAATTGATTAGTATAGTATTTGTGGCAAATGAAATGTATCAATTAAAAGAAAAAGCTGAAATTTCCCACTGTGAAAATCAGAAGCTCTGGATTTTCAGCTTCTAGAAAGAGGCAGAAGAATTTCAGTAAAACTTGGTGTGCCTTTTGAGTTTACTGCCTTTACAGCCCATTGTGGCAGCGTGATAATTCACCCCAAACTCAATAAGCAGTCCAGGAAAAGTTGTTTTAAAGTTAATTTTTGGGTGGAAACGGTGAAAGAGCTGTCTGACTTTTATTTCTTCTTTTTTCTTCCAGGCTGTTCACACAGGTATGAGGGCATATATTTATAACAAGAATTCTGTCATTGGCTCTCAGGCAGAGCACACAGGGATGAGGACGTACTACTTCAGTGCTGACACCCAGGAGGATATGAACGCCTGGATCCGGGCTATGAACCAGGCTGCTCTCATGCAGACACGCTCCTCACTGAAGAGGCAAGTTCTACTCAAAAGCTTTAAAAAAAAAAATTAATATCTTACATGAAAAAACGCTTACTATCTTACAAAAATTTAATATCTTAAATATATCGCACCCATGGTGGTATCTGACACTGCTGTTTGTAGATATGTACATAAAACTCTTTCATATTTTAAAGAAAGAATTCTTTTAAATTATTTTTAATTTATTTCCTTTATTTTTAATTTAATTTCTCTTTAATTATTTTTAATTCTGTTGCAAAATAGTTAACTGGTATTAATTAAGAAAACCTGGTGTTCAGTATTTGAGTATGCATGCAAGTTTTGTGCCCACATCTAGTGACCAGGATTAATTTCTCTATATATAATATTTTAGGGAATTTCAGGTAAAAAGTTCCAGTTTCTGTGGGCAGATTCATACACCTGCCACAGCCAGTTGGCAGCCTTTGGGAGAGAGAAGTAGAAGAGAAAGAACAGAAGTTTATTGAGTTGTTTCAAATGAGTGTTTAGAACTAGGATTGAAGTGCTGTTAAAGGGAAATAAGAGTGCTAAAAACTGGTAAATCGTAAGTGCATAATGGATTAATGGACATCAACTAATTTATGCAGGTATGAAACTGATAACGAATAAACTCAGCTGTGCCAAAATGTGCTTCCAGATTTTTTCATTTTCTGTAAATTGATGTAGCCTTATTGATGTTTTGGCTTTGGAATGTGATTGTTTCCCTACTCCTCCACGTGAAGGAATACACTGCTCTGTGAGACAGCCCTGCTTTGGCCACTGTGAGGATTGAAATGTTGTGGTGCAGTTTCTCTGAGTGTCTCACACTCATTTCTTCTGGCCACTCAAATATAAGCAAGGGATCAGCACCTCTTCCAGAGCTTTACATTCTATATGATATTGTGTTAAGACTTTGTAGATTTAATTTAAGTTTCAAGAAACAACCTGGTACCTTTATCTTCTTTGTAAGGACGGGAATAATTGAAAGAAAAATTGGGGAAGTCTGGCACATTAGAAGTATTCATCTAATGTCTTTGCTCCTAAGTAGACTATTCTTTTCTAATTAGACTGAAATGAAAACAATTTCATCATGGCATTTTTTACTTTATGAATTTACTTTTCGTAAAGCTTTAAAGAAGCTGAACTTAGTTTCAGAGATGGGGTGCTACTCTGACATCAGTGAGAACCCATTACATTGTGTGAGCACAAAAGTTGTTGAGAAGCTTATTGTTATAAGGAGATGAAGAAAATTGCAAATGAAGTATGTTGCATGTCAAAAACAACATGAAACTTTCAGAATCCTCAGATATTTTATAGTGTGTTCAACTTGAATATTATTGAATATTATTACTGGTATTATTTTGACAATAAGGTAAATAAGTAAACTAGTGTGCACTGCAGCATGGAGCATTTTTTTCTTCAGGAGTAGCTCCCCAATAGAATTTCCCTGGGCAGTAGTACTGCCTTAAATGTAGATACTGATCTGTCCTCTTGGCCAGAAGTGACTAGTCCCTGAGGCATCTACAAAGATCTGAAAAATTTTTTGGTTTTTCGGCTTCCTAGGATGGGAAGATTTTTTTTATTTACAGCTTTTTTGTACATAATGTAATGCCGAACACTTCTCTCATACAATACTAATATTATTAGTCATTTTTACAGATGTGTGTAAGTAATTTCCGCTTCCTTGACAGCGCGATAAAGGTAACTTTTGTCTGACTGGGAGAGCAACTGAGTTTTGCTGAGCATATTTATTGTAACATGTAAAATTTATCAGTCTGCAGACAGTGATTTTGTGGTTATCCATTGTAAAAGAGCAACACGACCACACCAACTTTCCACAATTAAACAGTGCACATTACTGACACCCATTTTGTTTTCAGGGAAACTGAAAAAGTGGATCAGCAAGCTGTTCCCCAGGTCAATCATGTGGATGCCTGCAAAGAGTGTGTGAAGGCAGAGATTACAGACACAAAAGAAAGTTACCAGAAATCAGCTGAAATGCTTGGATACGATAAGCGTGAAGAGATAAGAAGAGAAAAGGAGGAGGAGGAGCGTTACATCCACAGAAGAGAAACTCTGGAAACCAAAAAGGGAAAGGCTAAGCACGCATTGACAGAAGCTGATTCATTATTTCCAGACTTGAGGAATGCATCGTGGTCCCAAGTAGCTCAGCCTCAGCCAGCTGAGAAGAATGGAACACTTCCTAGTTCATTAAGTATGAGTGCTGGCCTGGTGGAGCAGAATGGTACTGGCTCATATAAAAGAGGGTTTGTTCCCAGAACAAATCCAGATAAGCAGTTTCAAAGGAAAAGTAACATGGCTCAAGTGGAGCACTGGGTAAAAGTCCAGAAAGGAGACACAAAAAGGTTAGTAATAGGCCCGTCTTTAACTAGATGGCCAAGTGGCATTTTCTTAAATTAAGGGAAAACGTGTGAAGGAAAATGTAAGAAGACTTACTTTTTCCTTCAGTGCAGAATGGTATTTTTCAGAGATTTATCTCCTGGGAAAGCCAATATGGGATTGGCTAATCAAATCTCTTTCATGTTGTCGCAGTGTTGCAAACAGAATAAGTGACATTAGCATGCCATTTTATTTTCCTTCTTTTAATCACTGCGGATGCTTAAAACTTCTTAAAATTTGCTTAAATTTGGAAGAGCCAGAAAGTGAAGTGCAACCCCCAGTTACCTCTTATTCATAAACAATTACACAATATAAGTTACAGGTAATTGTTGTTCACTTCAAAAAGTAAAGAATGCTCATTACTTTCCTTCTTTCTTCTATTCCTGTTCCAAACGTCCTTTCACTCCTCTATATCAGTTCACTGCACTCAGAGTCACAGTGTGTGTATCACTTACTGAAAGTCTCCACATATTCATTTAGTTAATGAAGACATCCTAGGATGGTCTCTGGGATTCTCTTTTCCATTTTCAGTCCCTAATGGTACATTAATAGCACCAAGAGGTGAAATGCAGACTGGAATGCCTTTGTAGTTTGAAAATCTCATAATTGTTTTGCTTTCAAAGTCAGATTAAGTACCAGTTGGAGAAATGAAGTGATGAATATGTGTGTCTGTTCAGAATGTCACCTTGTGTCAAGTGGTAGGAAAAACAGTTGGGCTTGATGCTACTTGTGAGGATTTTTAAAATATGCTTATTCTACTGAATTAGTGTTTTATAAATCTGCTCAAATCTAATTATAGTATAAACAAACAAGAGACATTGGCATGTGGTTTTTAGGATGGAGAAAACATTTTGTGAATTTTAAAAATTCTTTCTAAAGCTAATGTTGGTCAATTCGGAGCCAGTAAGACATTTAAGTCTTTCTAATTTTGTGTGGAAGTCCATTCTTCTGCTCTTTTATTTTTGTGATTACCCTTGAAGAAGCTTTTGTACTTTTTCATATTATTTAATATTCTTTTAGACTGCTAGAGTCAATTAACTTCCATCTTTTTTGCTTGGATATGAACCAGGACTTCCCAAAAGAATATGAGTTCAATGAAAAAAAGTAGTTGGTGAGTTAGTTCTTATTGCACACATTGATTTGCCTGAAATAATACAGAAACTGATTGAAGGAATGAGCTAATGCTTGAAAAGCTTCTGTTGATGTTTTTTTCATCAGAAGTCCTGGCAGTGACAGGATTGACTGATAGCTAAATAAGTATGGTTTTCTTCCAAATTACTCTTCCCAGTAAATTGACTTTAGGGGCGTGTATCAGGTGCAGTGTTAAGACAGTGTTGTTGCAGGTGACAGGCTTTGTTCTAGAAGAAACCAGCTTCCTCAGCTGGAGCTGCTAAGTATTCAGTGAAAATAAAGACAGATATATATATGTGTATGTCTATGTGTAGCTATTTCTAGATATAGCTCTATATCTGCATATACATATCTCTAAAAATGTCTATTTTGGCTCAGTTGACCTTGTTTTCTTTGCCATTATAATCTCTGCACTCAGAATAAATTGCGTGTTACCTTCCCTAAGATTAACAGAGTCATCTTTTAAATGGCACCTTCTCTGAGCCTGCTGAGGTTGCTGCAGTGTTGTTAAAGGATGGATAGAAGTGGAATGTTACTTGTCAAATATCTTCCTGGTTGCACGGTGTAGAAATTTAAGCTAGAGATGGTAATTTGATTGACATTCTGTTTTGATTTTACTAAGTAGTAGTAGACCACTTAATTTGTTAAAGCTCCATGTTGATGGATATTCCAGCTGAAATGTCACAAATAGAGAACCTCTGAGGATTCAGAAAGCTGGATAATTCTTGAACACAGAATGAGTACAGTTTTTATTTGTTTCCTGGCTCAGGTGTGTACAGATGCAGTGCCTGCCAGCAAGTTGATTATGACAAGAAAGAACTCTTTCAGCTAAAGGGTTCACACAAATACTGAAGTTGTTCATATGACTGCTTGTAGGGATGGCACCTTTTATATAGATCTTCAGACCTTTCAAATAGATGGTTTACTTCCCTTTTTAATGAAGCACTCCCACTGCTGAGTTGTAAATGTTAGCTGTCACTTTGGAGATCCACCTCTCTTAGTGACCTCTCAGCTGCACTCCAGTGACATCCAGGCTAGCCATCTAATCCCTCTCTGTTCTCAGCAGATGGGAATATCTGCTTTGGTAAGATTCATGTCAGCCTTTCAGAGAGATCTCAAGAACTGGAAGAAAGTTTGAAAGGAGGCTTTCAGGAGTTTTAGTAATTAAAACTTTTGGGTTTTAGTAACTAAAGGTCAAGGTCGGGACCATCAAATAGCAGCTTTTCAGAAATTGTTAGGTTTTGATTTGGTTCCAGTGCCTGTATAAACTTAGTGCATAATTATGAAGAATTTGCTATTTCTAACACTTTACTTGCATTTTAGAAATATATAAATCCAATTAAGCTTAATATTTCCTCACTAGATGCAGTCATGTTGAGATACTTCCTTCCTTGCAAATGGTGTTATAACCTTTCTTGTTATGCAGAACTTTCTGTTCCTTCCTGATTTGCTTAAGGAAAAAAACATTACTTGTCTTTGTTAGCTTCTGTGCCTTCCCATGAATGGCCACAGTGTTTCTAATAATAGTACTTGTTGTCTTTTGAACATCTATCTTCTCTTCTTACAATATCTTCTGTGTGATTGCTTCCCACTGCAGACCCTGAAGGTTTTCATGGCCAATGGTCATACAGTATGACATCAGGCCATTTATGCACTCTTTAATGTCTGTCTTCTTTTTTATGTCCTTTATGCCTCAGCATTCAAATGAGGGAGATTCTCAAGAACAGCTTCTTTTGCTCACTTCTGCTCTTAACGTCCAAGAAAGCAATAGTCCATTGTGGACTAATTTGAGCCATTTGGGACATGGTTCTTTACCTAGAAGTTCGTGTGGCATCTCACAGCCTATTTTTATATGATGCAGATTATCTCTAAGCATCTCAAACCTTGTGTGGTAGAGGTGCCACCAGCTTAAAGCCTGTCATCTCAGCTTGAGCTTTTTCCCTACTTCAGATACTGAGAAAACATAGTGTGTGCCTATATGTAGGCAGTTGCCTCCGAAGTTCAGCTCTGAATGTGACTTTCCCTGTGCAATGTTATCCACATTCAACTTTGTTCTCTTTTTATAGCAGGTTGAAGTATTCCATGAAACTGGCTCATATCAGCTGTTCCATGTACTGCTTTTAAAATAACAGTTTTTAGTTCTTCTCAGAAAAACTCATCCTTTTCTAGAAGGAAGGCATGATGCCCCTTGCCCCCAACAAAACTCATGTTGTCTTTGTTTTCAGGTTCATTTTGCTCCTAAAGCTGCCAGCCCTGGTGGCTTCATTGACTGCCATCAATTCCAGCTGGTCTCAATATTCTGCCTTTTAATGTCCAGTTAGAAAATAATCACACACAGGTGGTTTGCAACATCTGATAGTTTGCTTATGCCTTCATGAGGTCTCCACAAAATTGGGGTATAGGAGTGGTCACGTCTCCCTTCCCTGTTTTTCCACAGAGAAATCACCAAAGGAATCTGTTTTAGCTTCATGCCTGACTCAGATGCCCTTTTGAAGCATTATCTGCTTCCAGCATTCTTGGTTCTTATTGCTGTCTAGAGGAAATACATTTCTACCAACTTTCTACCACATATTTTCCTGTGGAAAAAATTGGCAGCCAAGTACAGGACATTAAAAGTGCACATAATGCAATGAATTAAAGAATTAAAAGAGGATCCACGACCGCTGTATGCTGATCTTTGTGTTGCCTGTATTCGTACTATCTCCCTGCCTTAACCTTCATTCAGAAATTCGAGGTAACATCAAGATTTTGTGGTATGAGGGATCAGAGCCTTTACAGGTTTGTAACCCTCCAGGCAGTGCAGGGCAGTTATTCTACTTGCTGGCATGAGGAATTTTGTATCCTCTTGAGAGTATCCATATTTCAAGGCAGTCCAACTGTCAAATCCTGCAACTAAAAAGGGTTGGTTGCATCTACTGAGCAACAGTTGCTGGTAGCAATTCTTTCCTCCTTGATCAAGTTATTCTTGGATGCTGAACAAAGGTGTTCTTTTCCATCCTGGCCTTTTCGTGTGGAATTCCTGCATTTTCCAAACCATGAGGTCTCTCTCTCACACAGAGTGGAACTTGTTGAGTGAAGTGATGAAAACATGCTTGGAGTTGCTTTGTTTATGTGGTTTTGTGCTGGGTTGGTTTTTTTAATTTTGGGGGGTTTTTTTGTTGATGCTTTGTAGCAAGCCTGGCAGAATGGTTTTCTCTTTGGAGATTCTGAATCAATGGGCAAATGACTGCAAGTACAAAACTCGCAGATATTTGACTGAAGAATCAGAAATTAGACAGGCAGGCTCTTATGCATGAGGCTACTGAAAGATTCTGTCTTCAAAGCAGGAGAGGGAGCTAACTAGACTTAGTGAAAACTTTTACCAATTCTGTCTTAACACTACCTACTAAAATATCTGGTTTTTACAGCTTAAGTGTTTTATGGGTGCAGTATTAAAGCCAGGACATAATAGTTCTTTTTATATTCTAATTTGTCAATGACCTTTGTTGTAAAAAGTCTCATGTTGCTCGAATCAGTAGAACCAGTAGCATTAGGTGGAAATAAATCATACAGACCTGCGGACTTTGAGCAGTTTCTTACCATTTTCTTTCTTTTTGCTTCATTCATATGAACAAAAACTATCTGAGATGTTCTGGGATTGGTGAGATTTCTTCTTGCTTTTAAAGATATTTATATTGAACATGCGTTTGTTTTCGTAAACTGCACCACCTAGTGGTGAGCACGCTTTCTGTGAAAAGGAGTATTTTAAATTTACAGACTCACTTGATAAACATGACGATAATCCCGTTCTTCATGTTCTTGACTTTCTTTTTTCTTTGAGTATGTAATGCTGCCGTTCCTTAAGTTTGTTTCTAGTAGTTCATCCTAGGTTAAACACTAAATTAAAATCCTGTATTTATACAGTGTAGTATTTGTGTGCAGGATAGATGTCATTAATATTGCTTTGTTAATATTGCTGTAAATTCTGTTAAAATGTCTGTTACATGTCTTGTAGCTCCTCTGCTTATGTCATTAGAGGTGTTTTTTATTAGTCACACCCACTCATCAGTGTGTGCTAAAATTTTCTTCCCTTTTTTTTTTACAGCCTCACTTCTGATCAGACTCTTACACGTCAGGGTCCCAATCCTCCTTTTCCTGAAAACTATCACACTTTGCCAAAGAATACCAGGCAGCCTTCAGGGAGCTCACCACCACCAAACCGCAATTTGCCGAGTGACTACAAATATGCACAAGATCGTGTCAGCCACTTGAAGATGTCCCAGGAGGAGAGGAAAGCAAATAAGGATGGAACTGTTTGGCAGCTGTATGAGTGGCAGCAGAGACAGCAGTTCAAGCATGGCAGCCCCACGGCCCCCCTTTATGTAGGTTCTTCAGACTTCATTGATCGTGCTAAGTCAAAAAGCTCATTAGATGTTCCGCGATCGATATCTGTTCCGCCCTCTCCATCTGATATTCCTCCACCTGGACCTCCAAAAAACTTTCTCCCACGGAGACCACATACTCCTGCAGAAAGGCTCACGGTTAAACCAACTGATGAGAGACAGACTGTGGATGTTCCTCTTGCTGGATCTCCCAGGAAGATTCGGAATCGTGCTGTAAAGGTTGGTGTCCGTTTAACTGATTACCGACCATTCTGCATGTGGTGTCACACATGGGGGGTTTACTTAGGTGTGGTTCATTGCATCCTTCCTCGTGTAGGAAAGATCATGTAAGTTGTAAAAGCTAATACAAGGAATAATTTTCTCCTCAAGCTCTTGCCATTCTTATCAGATTTATTAACTTTTGTTGGTTGGGAAAGGAAAATCAGTGGCACATCACATAGGTGTGGAATACTTCTAATAAAAAACAGGAAGGCATATCTTACATGTGTGAAATATACAGATGGTAGTTTTTTTAATGTAGAGAGTATGAAGGCAAGAATATAAAACTCAGCAGGATGGAATCTTTCTTGATTATTTATTTTTTGCTTGTAGCTTTGTGTTTCAAAGCAGTGCCTGCTTTCTCTATATGTTTTGCTGTTGTAGTTAGTCATACAGCTGATTCTGGTTTTAGTTATGGCAAAGCCAATATTATTATTATTATTACATATATTAATACATATATTAATATTTTAGGTCCATTGCAGAGCCTTTAACATTAGGCTAGCCAAATTCAAGTCGTGTTGGTCTGAAGCTTCAACTTTCTGAATAGTTTCAGTATGGGATTGTTTTGTAGGGACTTTTGTACCCTTTTATCCAGAGGTGACAGAGGTTTCCCTATTCAGTACTCTAAATGCTCTCCTTGCTTAAGGAATTTGGGGAAATTTGTGTTGAATCAATGGAGGATTGACTTGTCGTGGTAGATCTGGAATAATTGATATTGCTATTATTCACTTAATTCTTTGACCTCAGCCATGGACTCTGATAAGAAAAGTATTTGCAAAGAGAGAGACTTGTAAATCCAGATACCCAGTGTGGATCATGGACCATGACTTTAGGCTTCAGCTCATGCACAGTTTAGATTTTTTTCCTAGTGTATATGTGGTGTAGCTGTTGTATGTCTTTCAGCATTTATAGATTTATCATATTCTGTCAGAGGGTGAAATAGTCTAGTGATTTGCAGAACTGGAAACTAATATTTGTAACTCCTGATTATATTGTACCACACAGTGGTTTCTCCACATGTAAGTTGAAGGACCATTACATCTTTAAAAAGGCATGTACAACAGTCTTTTCTTTTCCTGTGCCGTGGAACTGCAGAAATTTTAAGCTCTTTTTATGGCATCTTGGCTTTACTAATATTGGGAAACACAGTTCCTCATCATGAAAACTTCTCTGTGGAACTTCTGTGAAAGTTTGTAGAGAAAAATGCTCATGTTTTTTTATGTAAGCTCACAGTGTCATTCTACATTTAAATGTGTCTGCATAAATCCATGATACTCCATTCTCCCTGTACCGCTTTATTAAATTCCAACCAGTTGCACTAAAAAAAACAAAAAAACAAGGCAGGCGAGGCAAATTCAGTGAAGTTCAGAGACAGGAATAAAAATAACCGAGACATTTAGTCTGCCTTGAAGAACCCATAGAACTTTGGCTTTAAGAGAAAGATGGAAGAATGAGTGTGCAATAGGCTTTCTTATGGTAAGCAGAAAGGGGCAGATCAAGGATGGTTATTAAAAAAACCCCTTGGTATTGATGGAAGCCATTGCCACAAGGTGTCAGTCATGTCAGTAGCTTTGTGTTCCCTGGCTAAAAGAGCATTCATGGTTGTTACTATGTGCAGTACAAGCCTGCTGTGGGAAGGCTTCATCCAACCAAACCTTTTTCTGGGAGATGTTGGGGGGGGGGGGGGTAACTTCATGAACTTTTTAAAAATTTGCTGGAAGCTACCTTGTGCATTCTGCTGAAGCATCTCATGCTGCCACAATCCACTGCTCTGCCCAGCATCACAGGTGCTGAATTTGTGTTTGTTCATTCATAAATTTTTAATCATCAAAGGATTGGTCTGCTCAGTGAGTGTTACCTTGATCTAAGCACGTCACGAATTCCAATAGAAAATCTGTGGCAGAGCTGCAGACTGAATTTGCCATGGAATGCAGCACAGCTGGCACTTGACACAGTCCTTACCCTGTGGCTGTGGCTTCTTGCAGAGCTCCACGCACCTGGATCGCCGCTCCATGCCTGCCATGGGCTACATGACACACACGGTGAGCGCGCCCAGCTTGCACGGCAAGTCGGTAAGTGCAGAGCACGGCTCCTCTTGGGTCCTCCCACTAGAGCAGCCAGGTTTTAAAATCCATAGTCTTTAATCGTAACTCTATTAGTTGAAGCATAAATAACTCGAATGAGAACTTAATCTTAACCCAGTAAAGCCTATAGGACTTTTGCCTTTATCTGCAGCGTGAGCAGGGGTGAGCTTTCTGTTATTACAGGACTCAAGTTTTATTGTGTTTGTTTGACCAAATGCAGAGTTAATTAAATAATTGCTTAATCATGTCAAGTAACTGCTTTCTGGGCACTGAGGTGAAAAATGTAATTACAGTTCCTCTCCCTGAAGACTGCTAATTTCCTCTTTACAATGTGTCTAAATACCTGCAGCCTGAAGAGCTAACATTGCTTCTCATTCGATTAAGGAGACATCAGGCTAAGTTGGCTAGTATAAGAAATTACACAATCGCTCAGTTACTGCAGCACTTGCCAACTAATTCCACCTATCAGGTCAGCTGCTGCGTGGCTCATCTGTGACATTTTGTGACTCTGCAAATGCTTCATTATGGCATGCTTGGGTCTGTGCTTCCTTGCCCATTCTTTGGTATTCTACAGTGCCCAGGTTGTTTGCGTTTTTTCTTTGCTTACTGTATTTGCTATAAAAGATGAGCATTTTTAAGTTACAGGGCGCCAGTGCATCTGTTTCAAAGTGCCTACTTCCTTTTTATACTGTGTATTTATACTATTTCTGAAAATGCTGCATCTTCAGAAATGTGGGTTAAAATACTGTATAAGTTCATTCTAAAGCAAAACCATGTCTTTGTGCTGCTTTCATGGTGGGGTTGGCTCCCTGTGCCACGTGCTGCATCACCTGCAAATTGAAATGCATCAGCCAGTCTGTACATTCATATGAGCTTGTAACTGTGTCAGTTCTGCAGGTGAACTTTGGTTCATAAAAGCTCAGGAGTGTCTTGGATCATCTGTGGTGCTCGTGATTGCACAGGTGTTATGAAACTTGTAAATGTGAAATCAAACAGAAATGTACTCACAGAGCTCTCCGGTTCGTATTAGAGCATCAAAAAATGGAGCCACCTGGGAATAAAATCTGGTGACTCTTCTTGGAATTGGTGAAGGCTTTGGCCCAAAACCAAAGTGATTTTTTTGAATTGAAAAAGTTTCATTTCCCGAGTACCTCACCTACAGAACAATTGCACTAAGATGGGTGTTAATAACAGGGATTTCGCCAAAAATGGGCAGACTTTCTGGTCAAGTCCCCAGCCAGTCTTACAAGCTGATCTGACAAGAATTGTAAGTGAACACCTCTAAAGAAATGCAAGTGTGATCTATTGATTTTATGGCATAAAGGGTTTTTCTTTTCTTTTTCTAACTACACATTCTCATTGGCTCAAAACTTGAGAAAAGGTATAGTTGTGTTTTTCTTTTATTCTGAAGTTAATTGCACCCAGGATATGAAATGCTGACAAAATAGCAGTTAAAATTCTAGGAAGTTCTGGGCATTTTGGCTAACTACAAGTAGCACATTTGCAACAGTTAAACTTTATTTTGTATTGCAAATATCCCCTTTCAAGAGGGGAGAAATAACTTTGTTATGACTTCTGTGCATGTTTTCCTTGAAGGGACTGTAATAAAGATGTTGCTAGATGAGTGTAACTATAAAATTAAGCTGATAGCAATTACAGGTGAGGCAATGAAAAATAAGAATCAACTTGAATGCTGTTACTTAAAAGACAAAATGGATTGTCTAATCATATAAGTGAGATCTTCTTCAGAATCTTATTCCCAACACTTATTTCATAGTTTCCCTAAGTAAAGGAATTAATATCTTAAAATGCATATGAATTGTGATGAAAAGCATTCTAGTGATATATTATATGATGTCTTCTAGTTCTGACATTCAGTCACACCACTGTAACTTTTTCAGTGGAGGGCTAGTCAGTGGAAATTGATCTTGGAAAAAATAGTTTTGGACATGTATTTTTTCAGGTAATTCTGTGTCCTATTAGGGGTGGAAACAAAAATCTAGGTGTTTGGAGCAGGGGGTAATGAGGCAGTAATACTCTTGGGTAGTATTTTGCCCATTTTTTAGCTGTAAATACCAAGATGCTGGTGGAGCAAATGTGGTTTTTTTATGTGCTCCTACTGTGTTATTTTGGTCTCTCTTCCATGTTTTCTTGTATATAGCAAATTCAACTATTCTGAAATGGTTCCAAACATTCAAATATATTGCACTGTTTTTTCCCTATGTACCTGCCTGAAGGCGGATGACACTTACATCCAGTTGAAAAAGGATCTGGAGTATTTGGATCTAAAGGTAAGATTTTAGATAAGTCTACTTCTTTTTTTTTTTTTTTTTTTTCAACACAGTTGTCTTTTTTGTATCATGTTTGTACCTGAAAATTTTAAAATACCTTTCTAGTCTGAGATGGAAACTGTCTTTTGCCTGTGTTGTGCTTAGAATATTGAGTATCTGCTTAGTAGTGAAAACTACTACTTTCAATTAAAGTGAAAACTCAGAAAATATGGTTGCTTTAGTTTTTAAGAACAATTTGTGTTACTGGTACTGAGATGGATGATATATGGGGTATAGGGAAATCAGATAACAAACAGATGGAAAATATTTCTCTGCTGTAGCATTAGTAGCAATATGAAGTCAACACCTCTGAGTTAAAACTTGTGTTCTTTTAATCTAGCTTTTCCCCTTTAAATCTTCTTAGACTGACTTTTCCATTATTTGTATAATGTGCCATATGTTCTTGTGGAAATGTGATTAATTAGCACTGTCATTGTTTTCATGTTATTACGGTTAAAAGATTTCAAATGCACCCATTCATCCATCCATCGGTAGAGAGAATCTGATCAAGTAATGTTAGGAGGTAGTTCTTTTAAAAAAAGAATTAAATATGACACTGAGGGTCCTATCATCTGTCTAAATGATTTCTGTGTCTGGTACACTTGATGGTTGGCAATTTGAAAGCAAATCTAGAGTTCTTAATATCAGGTTTTGAAGGAAAAAAAAAAACCAGTAGAAAGATATAATTGTAAGCAAATCTAGAGTTCTTAATATCAGGTTTTGAAGGAAAAAAAATCCAGTAGAAAGATATAATTGCTCTGCTTAGCAAAGTAGTTTGCCACTTTCTGTGGGATGTAGGATGCCTCGCCATGTATAAATCACGTGATGTTCCTGAAAGTCAAGGTGAAGGGAACTTTGACACCTTGTTGTCTGTCTGTGTTGCATGTACAGAGCTCACTGATGCCATGGGGTGTTGCCTGTGAGCTGATTGCACCTGTGGCGATGTGTATTTCAATTCTATCTGATCTTTGAATTCCTGAATATATGACCAAATATATAAATGGAAAATATTGCTATAGAACCATATATGTATTTAGCATATAATACAGGTGACATGTGTGTAGTCTGAATGATCAAATATGTAAACTGTTGGAATCATTAATATAGAAATTTAAAATTGGTTGGACACATGTCATTTTAAGCCTTGTCCTTTTTATTTATGGCTTTGCCAAATGTGACTGCAGCCCAAGCCATCAGGTCAATTTTACAACAAAATACAATTTAAAAAGTCCTACTAGGTGAGAAATTATTAATAATCTGAATTTTTTTTCATTATAAAACACAATTTTCACAGTTGAAGTCACCACAGGTCAAGCTTCTGAAAATGTGATATACTTAGCAAAATTCTTGGGGGAAGGGGGAGAGGAGTTTCTTAACTTTTTGGTGGATTCTGTCCAGATTAATTTGTTGCAGTCTGGAGCACGAGGAGATATTTGGTCTCTTAGAGCTCCCCTTGTGCCTTCCTACTACCTGTAGCACCTAACAAAAGCAGCCAGAAAGAGAAATGTACGGGGGCGCCTGGTACTTCTGTGTAAAGAAGCTTAATGCCAGCTGGTTCCCTTTTGAAAAACTTGACACTCAAAATGTCAAATGTATTTCCAAAGGAATGAAATGTAAATTTTCAAAATGGGCATTTCTTAATCACCTTCTTTCAGTCATGGTCCAGAAATGTAAAATTTCAAGTCGGGTTGCTGGGAGATTAAGGAGCTCATGTGAAACTGGAGAAGGTGTCCCTGTATTGGTTACGTTTGTGCTGTGCCACTAAATGTAGCAATGCTTTGATTTGTGATACAAGGAAAAAGAAGAGTACGCTGCATGAAAGGAAGCAAATGATACAGATTTTAGTAACAGCAAATTCCCAGGTCATGTATGTAATCTTCCATTTAAGACACTTAAAAAAAGCCAATTAGTTTCAGTATCTCTTTTGACTACACTGGGCTTTGAATTAGGCCCACCCTGATTAAACAACTCCAATTAGGACATTTTGGAATTGGAGTTCTACTTTTTTCTTTTCACTAAATCCATTATTTCTGCATAGATCTTGCTTAGAGGTTTCAAAATAGAACTTTTCAGTGTGGAATTGTGACTGAGCAATTAACTGCAGAGTGCTTAGGTGTGCCCTGGGAGTGTGTGATCGCTGCTGCTCGCGGAGTTTTGAGTTGTGAGGTTTGGGGGTTTAAATCTTGACGTCTGTAACAAGCTATGACTAAACTTTTGTTTGAAACAGATAGAAAATAATGGACCTCTGATCAACATGATTTACAAAGTGCTAAAGAACTCAGCACAAGGGTTACTATCCAGTATACATGTAAGACTGCTTGCATTGAAATGTGCTCATCCCATCGCTTTTTCAAGTAGCAGTCAGTGTTCTGGCTTTTACAGGTGTCTTTTGGTGCACAGTAGTGCTTTCTGTAAGATTTTATTTTTAATTCCCTTTTTTTTCCCCCTCTTTTGGAGTCTGTATGCAAAATTATGGCTGACCCCTCAGTGTTTGGTTTCATTTTATCATGTTTTGAAAATGAATGTGTCAAGTAGTGACTCCTGTGTGGAATTTGGAAAATGTGAAAGCATGCTTAATCCTCATTATGTTGTCATGTTCACTGCTTGATAGTTGACAAATTCCTTACAGTTCTGATTATGTAATTTAAAGTATCCCCAAATTCTGTAGGCTTGTTTTTGTGTTAATTCCATTGCTTTGAAAAAGGCTTTTTCATTGTCTTAGCTTGCAGGTAATTAAATATGCAGAATTATTACTTTTGATATGCTGGTATTTTATGTTTATATTTAATTAATTGTTAAAATTATCTATAGGATTTAGCATTTAAATAATTTCATTCATAATTTTGAAAGACAATTTTTTCTTCTATATAGTATGTAATTGTTGAAAAAAAAATTGAAAAGTTCTAGAAGCAATAAATACTATTGATTTTGGTGGTGCAGAAGTACTATTTCACCACTCAAAAGTACATGAGAAGTCTTTAAATGGAGCCTACCACTGGAGGAGAGAAGATATGATGATATTTACCTCACTGTGGGTAAAATTTAATTACTTTTAAAAAGCTAACATGATGCTGTATGTGACTCTGAGGTTAATAAGTAAAATATGTAGCTTCAAGTCTGGAGATTGCCAGTTGGTAAAAAAACCCTGCCTGTTTATACCCCTCTTACCTCACTAAAAAAAGCAAACAACTTCAGCTTTTGTATCAAAATCTCTCCTGCTTTATTACTGAAGACAATATTGAGCTGAATTTTTCTTCATAGACTTTTGCCTGTATATGAAAAAGCATATGCTGTATATGAATACTACTAATCACCAAGTGGTCCTGTGGTAAGATAATATTTGCTCTAATGAATCTTTAAAAGTGTTCCAAAGAGGTGATATTAAATAATTAGATTTTAAGGCTTTTAAGAAATGTATTATTATGAGCTTTATTTTATTGCTCTTTTCTTTGCCTCATTTATTCACAAAGAGGGTCCCGTGTAGGCAGTGGAAATAAACATTTCTACAGATACAGACATGCCTTAATTCTTAATGTTTATGTGAAGGTTGGAAGTACAATTGAGTATTGTTTTGGACTGATTCTAAAACTGTGTTATGTGAGAAGATAATCTCACCAGAAACAGAATATGAAACCAGTGATTTATGGAATGAGAGATTTGGTACCTGGCAGCCACATCAAAATAGATTAATTACATTTAATTCCACTATAGCATTTTTATAGCAGTCTGTCTTTAGTAAAATCCACCCTGTGCTGAGGAAGATACTGTCCTTTGTAGGGTGAAACACTTGCCAAAAGTTGTATTTTTAGTCATTCGTGAATGCTGCTATTGTTGCAACCATGCATTTAAATGAACAATTCCATTCCTTTGTCTTCAAGAAATCTATTAGAGCAGAACAGTTAAAACTACTAGATCTTGCAGGAAAAGGACTTTTGTAACCAGAGACAGGTGGGATTATGCTGTTTTGTACAGAATTCCAAGCTGCTGGAAGAGTTACTAAATAGCCTAATGTAACTCGTAATCCCTTTTGTTGAACTTCTCAAAAACTAAAGCCAGTTTTGAAAGTACTTGTATCCAATTTTTTTTCCTTAATAAAAGTGAATATTTAACAAAAGTTTTCTTTTCACTGCTGAAGCATCATTAGGTCTTAGTTTGCTACGAATTTCTTACATTTTGAAAATCTGTTCCTCTTAGATGACGGGACGTGACACGTTGAAAGAAAGAAGTGCAAAGCCTGTCAAGGTTGCAGAAAGTGATATTGATGTAAGTATCAAACACCACTGCAGCACCTCTTGCACTGATCTGTCTTTTTCTTTTGTACAGTCACGTGGTCATTATTATGCTCATTGGGGTGAAATATTACAAGGGGATACTTTTCTGCTTGGCTTTTAGAATCTAACCATACGCATGTGTGTGATTTCATTTCCAGGTGAAACTGAGTGTTTTGTGTGAGCAGGACAGAATTCTGCAGGACTTGGAGGACAAAATAAGAGCCCTTAAGGAAAATAAAGTAAGTAGGTTAAAAAGGGTTAGTAAAACAAAACAGAAACTTTTGTCTAATCATGAAGTATAAAATAGGAAATTATAAACAATAAATTGAATTAATGGATGCTGATTGCAGTGTATTGTGTATATACTTCTATGATAACAAAAATTGGGTTTTATTTCAGGATTGAGTACCCATTCTGAGAAAACATGTTTTTGAAAGGGAATATTTTAAACTCATCTACTTCACTTCCTATGAGCTATAGCTGTCAATAGACTGAGGTGATTATAAAAATAATAATTTAAAAAATGTATATATCCTAAAATGAAAGTACTGTTCAGGTGGATCCTGTGGAAGAGCTACTGTGCAAAATTAATTGCATATTATTTACTCCTGACTAAATGAATTGGGTCTGTTTCATGTTTTAGACAATATTTTAAACCCTCACATGACTTTTTGAGCCACAGCAGTGAAGGAGAACCTGCCTTAAACAAACAGCTCATGCTGGGCTGTGGTAGGGCTGTCACAGTTCTTACTGCTTAAGGGAATTCTTCTGAAACTGTAAATTACACTTTCGTACAGAGGGTAAACAGAAAAATTCCCCTCTCACTGCTTTGTGTTTTCAACGGTTTTGGCTGCTTAACGGGAAGATTTAATAGAAAATATCAGATAATTTTGGATACAATAGGTAATTAAGGCTCTTGCAGTTTTTGTTTGCGTGTGAGCCTCCAAAACAGGAGGCCAATCCTAACCTCTGTTGGTTTGTAGGGAAGACTTGGGGCATGGAAAACACCTTTCATATTCCTGCCAGTAGATGCATAAATTTCCATGTTAATGTTGTAAACTTACTGCTGTCTTCTTTGTTAGGATCAGCTGGAGTCTGTTCTGGAGGTTTTGCACAGGCAGATGGATCAGTACAAAGACCAACCACAACATGCAGAAAAAATATCTTACCAGCAGAGACTTTTGCAAGAGGACCTTATACATATTCGGGCTGAAATATCCAAAGTCTCAACGGTACGTGTGTTTGGTTGCTTCCAGAAAACCAGAATTAAAATCCCAGTTAGACTAAAACTGTGTTGATCATTGGATAGGTAAATTAAGACCTGTTCTAAACAGTTTTGGTTAAGGTACAGGATACTAAAGCAGACCAAAAAAATTAAACAATCTCTCCAGCTCTCTTTTTCAATGCCTGCCTCCCATGCCCCCAAAAAAAAACCCCTAACCTTTCCAATGTCTTTATATATTAAGGGGTCTTAAATTGCAAGTCTTTCAGCTAGTCCTTTGGAAATACAAATGTGATTCCAGGATGTTTTTCCAGGTAAAAAGGAGTTGGGAAAATCTGTTGATATTTCAGTAAAAATTTACCGTTCATATTATAACTTAATAAATTCAAATGTAATTTAGTGTTGGTTTCACTCTGTTATTACTGCCTTTTCATGGATATGAGACTAGCTCTTTGTAAGACTGTTTCCAGAATTGCATGAACACCTTCCCTGTAGTAAGGTGTGATCACTAAAATGACAGTATTATTTAAATGTATCTAGTCAGTTTGTGTCTGTAGAAAATGTGTGACTTCCACACTCAGCATGTAAAATGTATTTGTGGGCATAAATAGGAAGTCACTGGAAAAAGGGTTGTGCTGGTGCAGAGATTGTGTTACATGCCAGTTTGGTGTTGTGTCAGGAAGCTGGCCAGAGGTTTTTAACTACAGGTTCTTGACTTGATTGTGCAAGCTATGAGGGGTTTTCAGGTGTATAATCAAGTCTAAGCAACAATGTAGACTAAAATGGATTCTTTACTTCTTTTTATAATAGAACAGTAACTTCAAAACTCTTTGGTGCTCAATTAGAGGATGGAGAAAGTGGTTTTGAAGTTAGCACAGTGTTAGAGTATTCCTTCTGTTAACAGGAGATGGAAAATGCCTGGAATGAGTATCTGAAATTAGAGAAGGATGTGAGCCAGCTGAAAAAAGCCTTACAGGAGCAGATGAACAGTTCATTGTTATCTCAGGTGAGTCCATTTCCAGACACTGTAAACACTTAGGGGATGGTTTAGTCTGAACTTCAAGTTACCATTTCATAAGAGAAATTTTCTCTGCCGTTTTTGCAGTGTGTTCAGCTGTCGTGTAATTTGGTTTGCAGAGTTCAGGCACTGTGTGGCAGCATGGCTGTGCAGTGAGAAAACCACTGCATTGTCTTGCAGCACACATGCAGTAGTGCCACAGTTTCCCAGAAGTTGTCTATGCAAATTTGTCATTATTTTATTTTTTTATTACATGCTGACATCTTGACATTGATAACCTATTAAATTTATAAGACTGTGCAGGACTTCTTAGCCTTCCATTTATTTGATCTGACATTGTTGGCTTCTTTATCCATTTTTAAGAGCATCAGTCACTGGTTGTTATTGTCATTACTTGTTCTTTGTCATGTTCTTCTAGTTATGGAAGATTTATCTCTGCAGATTGTTTTGTGAAGTGGAATAAGTGTTTAACAGCCATCAGTAATTGAAAGGCATCCCAGTTTTAAATCAATTATTCAGTTTCAAATTTTAAAAAGAAGCTTTGTTTGAAGCTCAGTTATTTTCTTTGCTGAAATGGATGTGGAATACCAGATTATTTCTACATACCTGCTTACAGCTGGTGACTTTATTCTCAGGGAATACTGGATCATTTTTCCTTAGTGTGAGCTGAACACAAGGAACACTGTTAATGTATACATTTTTCTCAACTCTTAGTCTACTGTTCCAAATATCCTGGACCAAAAGAACTCACTAGTTAAGTTTTTTAGCTTGCTTGCATTAAGTATCTGATCAGATATAATTTGAAGCCTGTTTATTTTCACTTTTAATGAACGAATGTTAGTATCAAAGCAAGAGTTGTAAAACCTTTTTTGATTGCATCAGTCTTGAAAGTACATTTTAATTTACTTTTCATTTTGGGATGTGGGAAAGTGATTCAGTTTCTGGAGTCAGAATATGTAATTGAGCTCAGCTGTAGAATATATTTTAAAAAAAATCCCAAGGGAATAGTAGAATAAAGTGGTCCTTGTATGAAATTACTTAGTTTAACAGAGGCAAATTACACCTTTAAACAAAATACACCTTTTAAGACTACTTTGAGATAAAATTTCCAGTTAGGTGTTAAACATGCTTAAAATACTGGGTGTGTGGCATGGGATTCACCAACACATATGGAAGGGAGTGTGGTTTGCACAGAAAAAAATGTTAATTCAGTTTGATTATCATCTCATATCACATAAGTGATTAATTATAAATACACACACAGCCATAAGCACATTATCAGTTGTATGTGTTTATACTTTTATATATCCATACATATAGTATGCACAGATATGTTTGGCTAAGTTTTAAAAAAAATGTTTCTGAATACCTATTTTGGAGATTCTAAGGGGAACTGATTTTTTCAGAAAGTACTGAATATTCTAAAAAACTATATTCCTTCAAAGAAGTCTCAATTGAAGTACCCATAATAGTTAGAATTTTTTTGATCTCTGCCCAAGGGCGTGTAGATTCAAGATTGTTTATCTAGCACTTTCCAATAGCACTAAATTAATATACACTGTATTTTAAAAAAATGCAGTCTTCATGGAATATTATTAAAAATTCAGTAAATTTGCAGGCTCAAATTGCTGTAGGAGACTGCTGATGTTGTTTCTGTGTAGCATTAATTAAGAGGTTAAAACCTAAATGTTTAAGCAGCTTGGTCAGAGTAAATCTTGCTTTTTAGAATGCAGCTTCAATTGTCTTTTGCTGAAGGGTTGGGGGAGGATCTGGGCATGCTGAATTTAACTGAGATGGGTTACTTTTTCAGTGATAACTTCTTAGTTGGTACATCTTTATCCTCTGGCTTTGTCAGTCTAAATTATGTTTCTGTTTGAAGGAAGTTAGAAAAATAAAATTTTCTCTCCAAGTTACCTCTTCCTGCTTGCCAATACAGTTTATTTATACCCCTCTGTAAACAGCAATCTTGGCTTTCATAATTTTAAAATTAATTAATCTGCTTATCGTTCAGCCTGGGTCCATTTTAGATCTAAAATATTCTCTTCATATCAATATTTAAGTAATGGGAAGAAATAATATTAAAAGATCTGGCTTTTTTACATTGACTAATCAAACATTTTCTGAGTGGTTTCAGAAGCAGGATTTTCAGTGCAACAGAGTGGGTTTTTTCACCAGTTCTGAGGCTTGATTGTTGTAAATCCATCATTTGGTTCCTTGTAGTATGATTAATCTCAGAAAAATGAAATGAAATGTGCAAATTTATAGTTTGTGTCCTGACAATCTTTCAAAATATGTCCTATCTATCGAGTGAGTTTACTACAGGCAAATAACATTCTCCATCATTTAAATGTTTGTGTTCTTGGCACCCTGTTTGCTGATCTGTAACCTGGCTGAACATATTTCCTGATTTAAGACAGAAAGTGGAAAGCAATTTATATGCCTTCCTTAGCTCTATGAGGTGTAACAGCTTTTACTGAAGTTTTTTTCCACCCTCAGCCTTATAGGATTAATTAGTAGCTATTTTGCAGCTCATGGCAAGTGATGAATTTCTGGAGTTCTTGAGCAGTTTGTGAGCAATTCTTAAGTGTTTCACTGCCTTCACTTTCTTTAATGGTATTGGTTTTACTAAGTTTATTCTTGATGCAAATTTTTGAAATCTGTGTTACCAGGCTTTAATGAATTAGATGACAGCAGCTATTTAAGATGATTGGAGTGACTGAAATGGTGGCTTCAGGAGCCAGGCTGTGATGCAGTTCAGTCTGTAGACAATGCTTCCCTTTCTTTCTTTCCTCCTGGAAAAAAAGCCTTGGTAAAGCAAATAGGATGCAAGATGAGACCAAGTCCTGGAGCAGCAGCAGTATATTGTTTTAACCTGTAATACATCATGGCCAGTAGGCCTAACAACTCAAATATAAGCAGAAATTAAAATTGTCAGCAATTCTGAGTTTGATTTTCTGCTTTTTAAATACTGGATATTTCCCCTAAAAGTATTGAGATGTTTTTATGGTTGCTTTAGCAGTCTTAAATTTGATAGGTATAGGATTTAAGAACAAAGTTCAAATTAAAAGGTTCTGGAAACTCATTTTAGGTAGAACATTAAACTATATTTTTGTAGTCTGAACAATATTGTAGAAAAATAAAAACTTGTCTCTTTTCCCCTGTCTTCTATAGGAAGTCTTCCAAGAGTCAGAAAATGCTCTAATAAATTTTATGGGCAATATATGTTTGTTGGTGCTTTGTATTTATTAATTTTTATTTTAAAATAATTATTTAACTAATTTCTAAACTGCTAAGATTTCTTGTAAGTTCTTTAGTTGTAGTTTGGTGACATCAAAAGAAGGAAAGGCCCATAATAAATTAAAACCAAGGCATAATTGATTTTTTTTTTCTTTCACTACAAACAACAGGAGAAAACACAAATACAAAAAGACTTGTGGAGAATTGAAGATGTTACAGCTGGCTTGAGTGCAAATAAAGCAAACTACAAAACCATAGTAGACTCTATAAAGAATCCAGGTAAGGGGAATATAGTGAAAAAAAAAATACCAATGCAGCTGAGTCTTTGGGTCTGTGCAAATAATCTGGGAGTTTGTTCTGCTGCAGAAAATCCAGTTAATTCTGCTACTGGATGTGTCAGAAATCTCTGTTGATTGAGTGCATAAACTTGGTGTTTCTTGTCTGAGGTGACAGGTTTTTTCTGATTTGTTTCACATACCAATGGTTCTAAAATGTAACAAGCCATAAAAAGAAGGGAAAACAATAACCATAATGGGCTACATTCTTCAAGTTGGCGAAGGGGTTTCTGTCAGGTGCCAGGCCCTTGCCAGTGTAGTATCTGTTCTGCATCCTGTCCAGGAGCTTTTCTCTGTTTGTTCTCTGGGTTTATTGTTGGGGTTTTTTTTCCCTTGGATGCAGCCCAGCTGCTCCTGCTGCAGTTGCCTTTCCCCTCCCTGTTCAGGCAGGTGTTTGGTGGGCAGAGCAACATCAGCTCTGGAAGGGAGGAAAGCAAAGTGTGTGTGGTCTGTGCTGCAGTGGCTTTATTGCATTTCAAAGACAGGACCTGATGTGGTGGGGTAGCAGGAGACTGTTAACGCCTACTGCAGAACTCACCTCTCACATACAGAGATAAAATAGTTCTGAGATGGTCTAGATCTGTAGGCAACTTAAGGATCTGTGGCATGGGGCCAGATGCAGTTTATGGACTGATTTCATGTAACTCCCAGGCTTCTCCTTCCTTTGCTCCCACTGCCCTCCACCGGGAATATTTTACGGGATGATACCGAACTGTGTGGTTTCATTTTTGGCCTGAAAGACTCGCTGGATCGTCATCAAGAAACGTTTTTGTCTATTTCTCCCCTAGAGAGAAAAACAGTGCCTTCATTTTCTCAGTCTTCAGTGCCTTCCTTACCAGCTTCCCTTGCTGCTGTGGAGAGCAAACTGTCCATCCCACAGAGCCCTCCACGCAGCCCGGTGAAATCCCCTCTGGAGGTCAGGCTGTACCCACAGCCTTATTTCCAGACCAGGACACAGCACCAAGCACAGCAGCTGAAAAAAATCGAGCCACCTCTTCAGTCACCAGTCAAGCTCAAGCCAAAGGTTGGAAGTACTGCTCTTGTGGGATTCCTTCAGCAGTGTTTCCATTTCCCTTCTGTCAGGAGCAGTGGGAGTGTCGTGGGTGGGAAGTGCACGCCGTGGAGGTACAGCAGTGGTGTTTGTGTTGGAGCTCAGCAGCAGCACTTCCAGCACAATACATGTGGAGCCTATTGTGCAGTGGCCATAGACTGGTCTAGAACCTGTTAATATTCAGAGCCTTCCTTGGAAATGCTTTGTGGTTGATTTCTTGGGTCTTGCTTGGGCTTTAAAGCCTCAAGCTTCTGATGTGGACAGAGGAGAGCACACTGAAGCAGTCACAAATACTTCATATAATGCGCTGACCTTTATTTTGCAGTTTCTGCCAGACTGTTTTCATGCTCTTTGCCAAATCCCTGTGCTTTCCTGTTCCAGGAAGATGAAGCACCTCCCAGACCTCCTCTCCCTCAGCTGTACAGCCCTGAGGATCAGCCACCAGCTGTCCCACCCCTCCCCAGAGAAGCCACTGTCATCAGACACACCTCGGTGCGGGGCCTGAAGCGCCAGTCAGACGAGAGAAAGAGAGACAGAGAGCTCGGCCAGTATGTAAATGGAGATTACAGGGTGAGCTCTCACACTCCTCTACCCCTGCTCTTCAAAGATATGGGAACCTTGAATAAAATATGTTATTCTTGTCTGTAAAATACATGGACCTTTAATAAAGTAAGCATGGTATAGAATGGCAAGGAGATAATAATGGCATCACAATACTAATGATGCATGCTATATAATAATGGCAGAGAGAGATGTAGCAACCCAGAAACAAAGCTTTAGGATTATTAAAACTTGCTGTCTGCGATTCCACTTGAGCTGATGAGTATTTTTCCGTATAGGTGGAGCTGCGCTCATACATGAGTGAACCAGAACTGGCAATGGTAGGGGGTGACCTCAGCCACCCTTCCAGTGCTTTAATAAGTCCTGACAGTGGATACCAGACATTGCCTACCCGTGGTAAGCCAGGAATCTATGGAATTGATCCCTAACAGTACTGTCTGGATAGGAGCTTTTCTCTTGTAGGGTTTCCTCGAGATGATCTTAATCACCAGATCACTTTTTTAAAATTAATTATTCAGTGGAAGTTTAGAAATTTTGTGCATTTTAATGGTGGTGTTGCAGACAATCAGCCTTTGACAAAGCACTTAATACAGATTCCCCTCCTGGCAAGCACTTTCACTTGAGCGAGCGTGTGTGATGCTTCTAGTCCGATTAAATTAGTGTTCTGTGGTATCAAATGAGTTCGAGAGTGTGAGGAACAGATGATATTTTTTACTCATAGTTATGGTAAATGTAGCAGGTTCAGCAGGTAAGTTGGTCAGAGGTTAGTGATGAGTGGAGATGCCAGTGTATTGATTTCAGGGCCATGATTTTTGTTTTCCCTTGGAATTGTATTTAGAAAGTGACAGAAGCTTGTACAGTTTTAAAACTGCTTCATAATGGAATGGGCCTTTTAGAATGTTGTTTCTCACCATGGGTGTTTTTCCTTTTAATTCATAAATTATCCTGCAAGATAGTTGGTGGTAATATCAGACCAAGGTGGTGTTTGTCTGTTCTTTTTAAAAAAGATGATAAATGGATAATCAGTTTTAAAACCTAATCGTGCTGATTAGGAATTTATGTGAGAGCTAATGTATTCTAATTGATACAAATTCTTCTTTAAAGCTCAAAATGTAGAATATTCTATAATAAGGCTGAAATTTAGGCTGCTAACGAAAAGTATTTTTGTTGCTTTCTGAGAGTAAATGCTGTGCAGATGAGAAGTTTATAATGATACATTTTGGATACTAACCAAAGCAATTCTGATTGGTGAAGTTACCCAGTTGCTCACTTGGTGCTAAACCAGGATTGTACTGTAATTGCACTTATGCTGTGGTCTTTTAATTTATTTTTTTATTTGGTCCACTAGAGCTTTAGAATGATCATATTGTTTTACCTAATTCATTGCACAAGATCTCTTGCTTTTAAATTTGTCACTCATCATACCTAATGCCTCTTTTTTTTTTTTTTGTTTGCTTGTTTTTAATTTGCAGAATTTTGTAGCTACTTTAAAATTTCTAACTGGACTACTCAATTTTTACCAGGCTTAATTGCATTTAGTACATGTGTGTCAATTGCTGGCATTGAAAAAACTTTATAATCAGCTTTTCATTCCCACTGTTCTGTAGCACTAATTTGCAGCCAGTTATTTGTATTTACTTCCCCAGTAAATACAACTGCACTGCTTGGAGACATTCATCTGTTTTGTCTTCTGTTTTGCAATCACAAATTTTTTAAAGACAGTGCATAATGTTTGGGAATTGTAGTACTATAGTACCACTGTTACTTTCATACTTTAATTGGAAGAAATAAATCTGAACTTCTTATGTTTTCTGACTCACATAACATGCACAAGTTGAATTGAAACGCTTTCATAACACTTATTATTAACATTTGTGGCAAACACTTTATTTATAAATTTGGGTGCCATCTTGGTCTTTTTCTTGCTGTAAAGAATTAAAATAGAGTTTTTCAGCCCTAGTAGTGTTTTGTAGAGGTCATCTCTTGTACCTATGGGGCTTTGATACACAAAAGCATGTTTGATAGCACAATTACTTACAGCATTACAATTATTTAGCAGCCACAATGGCAAACAGTTAAATGTATAATTGAAGTGCTGCTCAGTGTGTAACATTTGCTTTAAACATACATTGTATGTGTAATTCTAAATTTTAATTGGTCAGCTCTCAAGTGTAGGATGACATTTTAAGTATTGATCACAGTTCATGAATTCATTTGTTATATACAATGCCTTTTTAATGTAAAAGTTGCAACATCAAAGCCAATAAAAGAACTGCTTCATAAGAATGGTTTGATGTTTTTCTTACCTGTTATATAACAACTTGGAAATGATACTGTGTATTTAAAATATACTATCTCAATCAGGCCTGGTTCTAATATGAGTAGAAGGATGAGTTTGGAGTACTCATATGAGAAAAATCATCTTTTCTCTGTTGAATTCTGTAATGTATTAATTTTTGAGATATAATTGCCTCTTACCTACTTAACTTTTTAATATACATGGAAGATACTTATCTTCTGAGTGAATACTGAGAGCTTGTGCATGAATAGGTTTCAATTAGATTTATTAATGCAAGTGACATAATGAAGTCTAAGGACTTCATGTGGAGTTCAAACTTCTTCCAAAACAAGTCAAAGTTTTGTACCAGAAATACTGGAGGTATTTTTCTGAAACATAAATTGGCACATTCTCCTGTTGATTCCCTCAGAACCTTGAGGAGATAATGTTGTTGTTGTTGTTGGATTTGTCCCTTCTTTTTTTCTACTGCTTTTAATATCATGTATGGTAAAGTTGCTCAGATCTACCGGATGGAATGATGCTACAACTGAACTTAATTTTTTGAACAAAAAGTTATTGGTAGTGTCCTTAAGTGTGAGTTTATATGTAACTGTATTGTGTGTAGCTGTGTAGGGACTACTATGCAGAGCTTTCAGGTACTCTATAATATTAGAGTACCTAAAAGCTTAGTTTAAATATACTAAATTTAAATATCAATAAATATTAAATAGTTCTGATTTATATTGCTAAATATTTACGTTTTAAAGACTGTGTGGAAGACTTTTGCAGGTAGCTAGACTCTGCTTTTAGTAAAGTCTGAAGAGCTTAAAAGTAAATTTTTTAAAATTCAAGACAAGTTACTGGTAATACATAATATATTATCAGCTTTAAGCAGTAGGTATTATTCTAAAAAAGATACATAAAATTTTCAAGTTGTGATTCTCAACCAGCACTGTAAATAGCCTTTCTGTGTAATCATGCAGAACCACACAGCACTGCCTCTTTACAATGCCAAGGACTACTCTGCCAGCCTGTAGGCTCACTGGTAGTGACGCCTGTGATTCCAAAGGTGTTTTTCCATGTGCCTGTGTTAATCAGCAAGTATAAAATTGAGATTAATAAATTTCTTAGAATCTAATACTGCTGAACATGTAAAATTAAACAATACTCTGAATTCCTCACAGCACAGCTAGAGATCAAAACTCCCACCCTTATGTACCAAGAAATGCAGTTTTATTTTCTTTCTGTTGTCACTTCAGGGGTTTGCCCTGCTGATTCTTTCAGCAGGGTAGCTTTTGCTGCAGTAGTATTGTGCATTGCTGTATGGTGAGTTTGGCAGTATGGTTGAATGCTGTTAATTGTTTTGTATCTATTACCAGTGGAAACGAGAGCAAGAATTTGATTTGCAGTTACTTGAGAGGGCAATTCGTGGAGAAGACAAGGATGAAAATGAATGGTTAAAAGTTCAGCCAGTAACAGTGACAGAGACAGACCTGGAGCCTCAAGACTATGATTTAGATATCAGCAGAGAGGTAACACTCACAATCTTTTGCCTCCTATCCTCTGTCCCAAAACCTTAACTTTTCTAAGTTTTAGGCAGCGAATTCTCATCTTTTCTTTCGAAAATTTGCTGGAAGTTTGAACTAAAAGGACTCTTTTGGGTACTGAAAATGTATGACCTGGCACCTTTGTAAGGTTTGTGTTCATGTTGTGTTTTTGTAGAAAGAAGAAATTGATAAGTTGGCTCTAGTCTTTTAAATATATATCTCAGGCTTTAAAGGGAAGAGCGATTAAGTTAGGGTAAGTTCTGTAAATTGGGAAAAATAGACAAGAAGACAACATAATGAGAAGCAGGAAAGGACGAGTTAGTTCCCCAGAGTTACCTCACTACTTTTCATGTTGACTGGCAAATGATGATAGAGAGAGGAAGCTCTGCTTTATTTGGGTTTGAGCAGAAAACATATTTCTGTCAGCTTTTAGAATGACTTGGTCGATGTTCTGGGCAAACAAGAGGTCTTTGCTCAGCTCCAGTAAGGGAGGAAATGCCAGTTTGAAATGCGATTGAGCCATCTGGTGGGAAGGAGAGAACACAGCAAGAGGAAAGGCTGAAGGGGCTACCTTGTGCTGTGTTAAATGCCATGGGAGATGGCAAACCAGTACAACTATTAATGGTAATTAGACTGGTAAGCACCTGTACTCTTCTGAAAGCTGTTGGCAGAGTATCATTGTACAGACGGAGATATTTGTGAATGGTTTACTCTGTGAGTCGTTGAACTCTATGAATGAATTTATCTTTCAGTTAATCTTTGTATAATTTTTACAGAAAATACAGTGCTTCTGTCAACTTCAGAAACAGAAAATAACTTCTGTTCTTCTGCCTTTCCTTGTTGCATTCTGGTATTAATTTTTCTTTTCCAGAAGGCCTCTGGGGCTATGGGTATCACTTTGTACTTCCTTTGAGCCTTGAATGGGAGACATTTTTGCTCATAGGTATTTCTGTCCTGCTTCAGAGTAACTGAAGTAGGTCTGAAGCTCTGAGTGGAATGCTTCTTTCTCAGTTTACCCAGGTTAGAATCATACATTTGTGTTGGAAGGGACTTTAAAGATTATCTAATTCCAGCCTCCTGCCATGGGCTGGGACACCTTCCACTGCACCAGAGCTCCATCCAACCTGGCCTTGTTGTCCTTTTCCATTTCATGTGGCCCTTCTCTTCACCTGGCAGGCACTTCTGTGTTTGAGGTACCTCTGTGCCTCAGAAGGAAGCACACGCAGTTCTGTCTTTAAGAAAATCCATCAACTCATGCAATGATTAAGGGGTTTGTTATTCTGAAGGTGATGGGATGAGCTAATGTAGGTTTGATACAGTATGGAGATAGAGATACACATTTTAAAAAAAAGTGTATATATGTTTATATCTAGACCTTCAGAGAGGAGTTGGATTCAAAAGTAGGCAAGCGTATTGGAAAAATGAGGATTTTTCTGGAAGTATTGGCTTTGGGTTTCCCGATAAGAAAGTCTAAAAACTTGAGGCTGTGATTTTTAATATGGTTGAGTGTGCCAGTGTGTGCTCTTGTCATGAGATTTCCTGTGAATTACTGAGCCTAAGCACTGGGGGTTAGGTCAGGCCACTTTACATAATCCATTGAATTAGCGTGAACCAAGGTCAGTGGTGAAAAAATTCAGGGTTATTTTCATTGAAAACTTCAAATTTTGAAAACTCATTGCCTCATGAGTGTTTTAACAAAATTCTGATAAGAAGAAGAAAAAAATAGTTCTCCTTTGCTTGATTTCCATTTATTCATGCATCCTCTATTTTTGTTTTCAAAAGCAGTCTGTTCTGTATGATGAGAATTGATTTTCAAAGTTTGTAAACTGTATTTTCATTGGGAGGAGTCAAAAGTTCCCACAAAGTAATTTATCCTAGTAAAAAATTGTTTCTAGCTTTCGTGCAGTCATATTAAAATTTTCAGTCTACAGAATTTATGCAATGTGTTTTTACAATTGCACAGTGTAGTGTATTTCTGTTTGCCTTTTAATCTGCTGTTCACAGATTATCCAGTCTCAAAAGAATGACACCCTGGGTTAAAACTTTCAGTGATATTTCCTTTCAGATGTAGGAAGTTCTGGCCGGCATGACACAACTATCATGACACTGATATCTCAGGTTGTCCAGTCAGTTTCAGAGTGGTTGCTTCTTTCTGCTGTAAGAGCTTTAGGCAGTGTCCTATTTTGGGCTCTAAGCCTGAGCTGAAGAAAGGTTTTCTGTTGATTCTGACTTCTTCTGTAATCCCTTTAAATGTTTGTTCAATCTATCTTCTGAAGTAAAAAGAATCAGAGGGGAACACTGTTGAAAGGGCATCAGCTAGATATCCAGAAGAAGTGTCAAACGTCAGGTACATGTACTGACTGTGAAAATCCATGCTTTATTCTTTTCACTGTGTTCTCTCATTGAGGAGGATTTATCTCAATTTCTTTCAAGTCTTTGTTATTGAAAACTCGATGCTTGCTTTCTTTCTACAGTTGTCAAAACCTGAGAAGGTTGTAATTCCAGAACGTTATGTTGAACTGGAGCCAGAGGAGCCTCTTTCTACAGAAGAACTGGCAGCAAGGCAGCGTAAAGCAGAAAAGATAAAGAATATTCTTACTAAATCCAGGTTAGGTTTTAGGGGTTTTTTCCAAATCTTACACAGGGGCTCATGTTGAACATTGAGAACTAACATTGTACAACAATCTTTATTTCTGTTACCTGAATGCAACTTGTAGCTTTGAGAAAATGCACTCAGAATTTATGTGGCATACCTAGAGCTGCTGTTTAAAACAAGGTAGAAGGCATACTGATGAATTTTGTATATGTCCATTTTCTTGTTTAGAGAGTCCAAAAACAGTGCTAAGTCCTTACCAAACAATTCTAGATGAGAGTGAGGAGGAAGAAATGGCACAAAGCTGGCCAAAAGCAGAAGAAAAGTCAGCATGAGAGCAAGTTTGTTGTGGCCAGAGAGCTGGAGTTGTGAAACAACACTTTCGGCTACTTACAGCTAACATAGTCAGCTGAAACATTCCATTTCCAGAATTTGATTTGTCAGGTACCTGCTCTGTCTTAGGAAGGGGTACAACCTGAGGACCACCAGGTTTTTCCTTTTCTCTTGAGCACTAGCAAGGAATTTTACTAACAACTTCAAATAAATAGCGCTTTTGTAGTGCTTTCATTTAAGCACATTAAGGATATTTCTAAAAAAGGACTTTCAGATGCTCTTAAGGCTATGCAGAAATTGTGATTGAACGTGTGGCGACTGTCATTTTTCCTTGTGTGCTGTAGGCATTTGCATACAACATCAACCCTGTTTTAAAGAAGCGCAATAAAATACGGAGCTTGATAGATGAGATCTGAAAACTGCTGTCTGAATCCAAGCTCGTTCTTATCTGCATGGTGGATTCTTTATGTTTGCAAATGTTAATGTTGTTTTTCACTTTCCCCCCAGTATGCACAATCTGCAGCCTACTGTTGCCCAGGACAAACACAACTCGATTGATTTAGATTCACAGCTGCAGGAGCAGGAGCGCATCATTACCATTTCATATGCTCTGGCTTCTGAAGCCTCTCAGAGGAGCAAGGAGGTAGCAGGTAATGCTTAGTTATTTACAAAATAACAGATATTCCTTACCAGCTTCTCAAGTTGTGTGGGGTTGTTGCTGAACTCCTGGCATAAGAGAAAGTTTTAGTCATTCATATTCAAAATAGGGAAAAGAGTGTGTAGGTAAGAAATGGAGAGGGGCTAATGATTTACATTGAGTATTTGGCCTCCAGTGGACAGGATAAAGCGGGGGAAAACACTACAATCAATAAGTTCAGAACTTGGAAACTTGCTCTAAATAATAGTGCTAAAAAAAATAGCATTTTAATCCTGTATAATTACATTAAACCAAATACTTCTATGTTCATTTTTTGAAAGTAAATGGATCTGTGACTTCAAAAAACAATCAAGAAAAGAGGATTTAAAATATTTTTTTAAAGAGAAAAGTTCCCTGGTCTGGTGATTGAGATGAGGTTAGAATCATTTGCAGCTTGAGCTGTATTGAGAACAGGCTGAAAAAGACCTTGTAAAATGGGGATGGGCATGTTTCTGTCTGGTGACCAGGATGAGAGGTCAGAGCAAGACAGCTGTGCAGGAATTCTCCTTGGATGCCTGGAAATTAATGGATCCTTTGCAGTATGTTGCTAAAAAGTGATAATTTCACTCTTGATTGCTTTATAGTTGAAATAAGTAAGAAATGTCAAGACATTTGTATCACACAGTAATCCATGCAGCAGCGATTTCCCCAAGTGTCTGACTGGCCATTTATAACTGGCACCATTCACTGTTCCAGTGGAGAATGGAAATAATGGAAACTTCAACTATGATGGAGAAAAAATACGCACATTTCTCATTCAAAGTTGTCAGTTTAAACTTATGGCTCTTGCCACAGCAGCCCTTAAGACCTTCCCATTAAAGACAGATTATTGCAGTATCGAGATGCGTGACGTGCATCTGCAGTAACAGCGTTGATTGAATGTGGCTGTACACTCAGGGGTGCAGTGCCAGCTGAACCTGAGGGGAATGGCATTTTGAGGGGATGGAATATGTTTCCAAGATAGGAATCTTGAGACTTCAGAGAGTTTCTGTGGGTAATTTAACTGACTGGCAGGGAGAGAATGATTTGCTGAGGAGGTCAGACATTATAAAGCTAAACCAAACAAACAGAAAAACAGAACTGTAAAATCATGGGAGCAGTTCAGGAATAACCTTATGGCTCTTCAGGCCATGGGTGTATCAACAGGGCTTTTCCACAGGTGCTTTGGTTCCAGTTCCAGTGACCAGAGCCTTGTAACAGGTACTCCAATCTTTTGGTTATGGATTGGGAATTTTTTTCACAATGTATGAGCCAGTGGAGCATTTTGCCACTTGAGTTCCAGCTTCTGCTGGGAAAAGGTCACACATCTGGGCTAAGATCAAGCCAGATGAACACAGCTAGTACCTGAAATTATTCTTCTGTGTCAGTACAAGAGCAGAGTGCCTGCCCTACTCAAAGGTCTTTGTTGGGCCAATTAAGTTACTTCTGGGTGTGCCTGAACTTGTAGCAACTCTACGCTGCTGAAATAGATTTGATTTTTTTAAATGTTGTGTAGTGAATTTAGTATACATTTCATTACTATAGGCTTTTTATTTATACTTTTTAATTTTTTAATATTTAATTATCTCAAAAGTGTGATCCCTCAAATTTTTCTAGATATATGTAGCCACAAAAATCTTCTTAATTCTTTAGTTTCCTCAGAGAGGGAATTAAAGTGTGTATTGGCATTGAAATGTTTAAATGCTGCTTCAGAAAATTTGCAGTCAGTTGTGAGATAAGTTTTAGTTTAATTTTCTTTGTGAAGCATAGCAGCTGCCTCTTTTGTCTTTCAGACACTTAAAGAAACCCTAACACAGTAGCCAAAGACTAAAGTTTTTAAGGAATTCCAAACTTTTGTATTTATGTACAGCCTTTTGTTGCCACCCTTGTACCTCAAAAACTCACTTCTTGAAACATGTCTTGCTTTGATTTCAGTTGTTTCTTACTCCTTTAAAAGCAAACACCTTCCATGGTATTCTTAAAAAAAAAAAAAAAAAAAAAACAAAAACCACAAACCAAAAAAAGCCAGAGTGGTTTGGTTTTAATAGAAAATCTACAAACCAGAAAAGAGTTCAGGTGTTTTAGTTATGGCCTATTTTCTGATGAACTAAGATGATTAAAAAGGAAAGTGACACTTTGCACAGCTGATTTTACATTCTTATTTAGTCTCATATTACAGATTCCTTCACATTCTTATTTTTTGTAGTTTGATTTTTTAAGTATGGCTTATCATTTGCTCCTTGATGATGAAGCAGACCACATCTGAAATCCCAAACTAATTATGTAAATTGTTTTACAAAGATTTGTTTATGAAAAAGACTGTGAAGCTTAACTTTGCCCATTTTTCAGGGATGAGCAGTTATCTTAGGATACTATGCTAATATAAATCTTTTAAGATAAGTTGTAAATTTATCTAACTGTAGCATTTTAGAGTTTACTCTGTTCCTAATAAGAAATCAACCTTTTGAGTAGAAATCATGCCAAGAATCTGGAAGATTAAAGTCAAATACAAGAGTGTTAAGAAGTCATTTCCTATGTTGTGTGCTTTGGCCCTCCAAAACATAAAAGTAGAATTTTAGATCAGGTTTCAATTTCTTCAGTTTTATCATTATTGTCTTCAATACTATACCATTACTCAGATTCATAAATAAGAATAGTTTTAATCATTGTATTCTTTATCCTGTATTTTCAAGCTGAAATATGAAGATGTGTTTATTTTATCATGTGCTGCACTAAGCAAAATGTTATACATGTGTGTAATTTTGTAAACATTATATTTATGTATATTATTTTGGTTTTTGCTCACTGGCCTATAACAAAGGAAATGCTGAAAACCTGTACAGCCTCAGTGAAGTCTGGAAATTGAATTAGCAAATATAGCTGCTGGTCCAGAGCTTCAGAAGCTTTAAAAGCAAGGCTGATGAGAGTATGTCAGTGTTGTGTCCCTTCATAATGTTCCAGTGAAATTTCATCTGAAGATTGGTTGTCCATATTCTCATGCAAATAGGGATCTTTATTTAATTTATGCAAGGAGTGGAAAAAAGCAGCAGGTAGAAATGCTGTTTACCTTGTATTCCATGTGACTACAATAGTGTAGCACCTCATTCATTGCTCATCAGGTGGTGACTCCGTTTATGATGTGAATGTTTGATTGTGCAGCCTAATTCCTGTGTGTGATCACTTCTAGCTCAGCAGTTGACCTATCCACCCAAAGCACCCTCACCTTCTGTACCGCAGCCACCTCACTCCCCTTTAAGCAATGGATTTCACTACACATTTGTTTAAACACCTTCCAAGTAAGAACTAACTGCTGTCAGCATGTCTGATCCCATCGTGCCTGTGCTGTGGCTTGCTAAATTTTAACTCCTTTACTAAACCAAGATTCCATCCGAATGAAAGCATGCAGCTACTTTTTCAGGAACCTTTTGTCCTTGTAAATATTGCTTCTAATGAGCTAACACGTGGGCTGGTGGAGTCTTCAGTGCAGTTGCTCTGCGGGTGAGGTGCTTCCTCAGTCCTGCTGTGGTGAAGGGAGGAGACATCTGTGCTCTGGGTGACAGGGGGCCAGGTTTTCAGCAGCCCTCTGTACTCTGGTGGCTGCTCAGGGCATGCAAAGAGAGACTCCAAAGTGCACCCCTGTACAAGCAGGGGCTTCCTTTGTGGGTTGGTGTCCTACACATGAGCTGGTATCGGAGTCCTAGCTGAGGTGAGCTGAAAATTTGGCCCTTTGTGACTAATTCTGCAATGTTGTGTTTGACTTTGATCATGCCTTTCATTGGATCGTGTTAACAGAAGATTGGGTTTGTCTCTGGTTAGGTTATTTTGCCACTTCAGGTATTAAAATTGTGGTAATTTTGTTGTCCTTACAAAGAAACATCTGTATTTGTATCTCTTCTCAGGAGATTTCCCTGTTTGAAATTGGAAGTAGGAAAAGGTGTAAATGTTGTATGCAACTGCTGAGTGTGCCCCTAGTTAAGACACTAGCTATGCATCCATATTTTCCTTTTATATTATTCTTAGTTTTCTGATTTTCTCTGGCTTAATTTCATTGCCTGAAATTTGAACAAGAAGATAAAGCAGAGATGAAGTAGTAAAGGGGGGGTTGCTTGAGTAACTCAAATAATTGTACAGTGCCAGAGACTCGAGCAGGGGGCTGGGGCTGACCTTCAGAGATCCCTTCCTACCTCAGCCATTCTGTGACTGCAGACTGACTTAAAAACATGACTAGCACGTGTCTGTACAAGTATATGCACACAGATACACAGTTACAATATATATTTATATAAAGTTACATTTTCTTCAGAGAAAGAAAGTAGTTGTGATGTGCTGGGCACACAGGAGCTTGAGCATCAGTGGCATCATGAGACAATTGTTGGCTTAATGTGTCTGTATGAATTGTATGAATCTGTCAAACTGCTAAAGGCTTAAAAAAAAAATGTTCCCTGCAATTTCCTACTGCTTGGCATTGGGTGATTCTCTTCAATATTTAACCATGTTTTATTTTCCTTCACACCAGCCAAAGCAGTGAGTGAACACTGACGTGAGACTGGAGGCAAATCCCACTTTGTGACACCGCACGGCGGACAGAGGAGATTCTTTTCCAGCTTTCTGTGGAGATTCTCCTTGGATGGTGACACCTTCTTCCGGAAAGACATGCAGAGAATGATAGGGGAATTTTCTATGAAAATGAAGAGAACTGCAGATCATTTTTTATTTACTTCAGTTTAGTTCACACCTTTTATACAAATAAATGGCACTTTTAATAAACTCTGTAAAATACTGACAATGTATTTTTAGAACGATGTATTTTAGTTTTTTTTTTTTTTTTAATCAAGGGCTGAATTCATTTTAAAAGACACTTCTTGCATAGATACTAAAAGATGCTGTTACTTCCCCCTCAGGCTCAGATGCCCATCGTAAAGTTTTGTGAAAAAAACCCTGCAAATTTGAACAAACCTAGAAGCACATTGATAGGGTATGGATAGAGCTAACATGGGTGACAGGTTTGGTGAAAGATTGAATATTTTTGTAGAGTTAATCATCCACCCTTTTGCCCATTAAATAATCCATTGCAAGAACTGTTAGCTTGAATTTCTAAATATTAGTAACCACTAATTTCCCAAGAAAGCCATAACAAAAGCCAGTTTTAACTCCCGTTTTTATGATCCCAGATGATTAACTTGCTGGTATCAATCCACAGTTTTTTAGGTTGCCCTTGAAAGTAGTGCTGCCCCCTCTATAACAAACAGCTAACAAATTTTTTTTTCCAAGTTGAGATGTGAAAGAAGTTGATTTTTAATTAAAATATATGAAGTAAGCAATAAACAATGACAATGTGTCATTTGGCTAGTAAATACATATTTTTCTTATATTTTTTTCAATAGACATTACAATATGATGTTCTGACTAGTATTTATCCTAGAAACAGCAAAACTAATGGAATGTGGCACCTGCTAATTTCCTGTATATGTTCACCTGGTGCTTATCTTTGCCAAACTTTGAAATTCTGTGCTGTTCTTACACATAGGGCAAAGGGTGAGCTGGTTAAAATAAGGAGAAAATATGACTAAATGTATTGCTGCAACTATATTTTAGAAAACCCTGTGTATGCATTGAATGCAAGACATGCAAAAACTTCCCAATGTTATGTAATTAGTAGCTGAGTTCAGCTCTGGATGAGGAATAACTGAGAAATACTTCTGCAGTATTTTGTGAAACCACTAACTTGTTTATTCCCTGTATTCAAGTAGTAGCTAAAACCCCCTTGGAATTGACCTTTGTGTTTCAGACTCTAAGACAAATCATCATATATTAACACTATGCTCAGAAATATTCTTAAAAGTATATATTTAGCTAATGCAATCTATTTTACCTCAATACTGCCAGTATCAACTTTAAAACCTTTTGCCAAAATAATGATTTATTTTTGCCTTTATGAAAAAGTTTTGAAAGCATAAATGAATATTTTGCAAGAAAACATTAATTTAAATAAAATGTAACTGTTTGGAAAATGGTATATGTACAGATTAAAATATTAACATAACTGCCTCCTATTGCCTGTGTCTTGTCTGCTCTCTTATCAGTGTCCAGCTAGTTGGAAATCCAGAGTCATTTGTGCTTTTGTGATATCTTGGTGCTCTTTGTTTCAAATCCCATTGAAGTTCCCCAGTTTTGCCTTTATTTTACTGGGATTTGAATCAGGCTCTCTCTACACCAATTTTACATTTTGATGGTTATTATTATTATATTAGTTGATTATTTTTGTTTGGAAATGATTTCTAAGCAATTGATGAAATCTGTCTTTATTCTAGAATAGCAAGAGTGAGGTGTTGGCTGAGGGGAAGATGGTGGGCACTGGCAGAGTTCCAGCTCACTGGCAGCCTTTGACTTTCCAGCAGTTCCCTCAAAAGACACCAAAGTTGATGGGAGAGCACTGGAGAAGTTGAATTCTTCTGAAAAAAAACAATTAAAATTGTTTTTGTGGCTTAGTGTTGACTGCACGAACTTGAGGGTGAGTGTTTGAGGCTGTGAGTCCTTGGCTTTTGGATGCGAGTGGCAGAAATTGGGAGCTGAGCTGCTTTAGGATGTCCTCATCCTGTTTTTGTGGGGCACAACAAAGCAGTGAAGGGCAGGGAGCACAGGCAGTGCTGCTCTGCAGGATGGGACAGATGTTCGTTCTCTTTTCTTTGATCACACACACAAAATCTGCTCATTCAAGCTTGTGTGGAAAAGAAGGATTTCGCCCTAAACAGTTACATCATTAACATTTTCAACAAAACCAGTCTTGATGGAAAGATTTTGGTCATGTCCCTAGTTAATCCCATATTTGGGAAGAAAATTATAAGGTAATTTTTCTTCCAAAACTTTTTTGTTGAATATGTGAAATATGCTGTTCTTAGTGACCATCTTTTGTAAGGATATGTGTAGTTTTTAAATAGTAATGACTAGTTTTCCAATGCACAGCATGTTTGGTTTGGGTTAATTTCATTTTTCAGTTCAGTTTTTTTTAATCTACATGCTCTTTTCAGGGTCTTACAAGCTACTTTCTAATATTAAAACTGGAAAAAAATTATGTTAACTTGCAGATCAATATAATTTTGGTCAGAAAGTGGACTTTTTTTCCCCTCTGCCTATTGAACAGTGAAGTGTTTGGGACTAATTGAACTCAGTCATTAGGAAACAGTGTCAGTTCTTTTGATTGTGCTGGTTTTTAATTAGTGTTTTGTAATGTTATACCAAGCAAAAATTTTGCAGGCTGAATTCTCTTCCCATGTACAGCTGTTTCAAATTTCTTCAGCCGAAGTTACTAAATGTTTACTGCCCATCTGCATTTATAAAAGTACAGCCTGATCGTTGTAAGTGGCACCTCTTTCGCCTTTCTGGACTTGCACAACAGCCTTCACCCCTGTTTTTCACTATTATTTTAAAGTTTGTGTGATTGCTGGGCTATAAGGAATCCTGCTGAGCTTATAGCACTGTTTATTTTTGTGCATCTGTATTAGGCTGTTTGTTTTAAAGGTCTGGGCCGGTAAGCAGTACTTAGGGACATCCAGGTTGTTTTGGAACACTTGGGAAGAAAAAAACACACCATCACCACCACCACCACCAAGCCCCCCACAAACAAAACCCATCAGAAGTAGATAGAGGTTTTTCAGGAAACTACTGAGAGATTCTCTTCTGGGGAGTATCTTAGGTGTGGAAGGAAAAGCTACTGAAGGATTCTACTAAGCTTGTGTGCTGCTATTTCAAAAAGCTCTTAAAAGTCCATCAGGGTGGTTTTGGTTACCCCACAGCCTTTGGAGGGAGGGATTGCTCTTCTGAGAAGGCAGAGCACTCCCAACCCATTCTGGTACTTCACACCATTATTTTTCCCCCGCACCATTTATTGCTCTGGCTTCCAGATCTTCAAATATATATGTATGTTTATTATATCAGCATCTGTTCCCTTCTAGGATACCACCTATTTCCCAGGTGTCTTAGCAATTAACTTCTGGGTGTTCTATGAAGGAAAAACCAGATTTACCTAGTGTCAAAACTTAGAAGATGCAGAAGGCAGGATGTGATGTTACCCCTCTGATTTATGTCTGTCTGTGGGTATTTTAAAGTGTTTGCTTGTGCTGTGTGTGTCTGTGTGCCCATGTACTGCATGCTTATAAAAAGAACAAAGCCATGCACAAGAAAAACATGAAAAAATTGCTATATTTTCCACACCTGGTTAAGATTCCCATTGGTTATTTGGCTGTATTCAAAAGGCTAAGATTTTTATTGCTCTAGTAGCAAAAGCAACCTTACTTCATAGCGGAGCAGTACAAAGAAAGA